TAGTAAAGATCCTAATTGTTAGTGTATTTATGTATCATTTTATAAAAAAAATAAAAAGATAATTAATTTCTTATATACTAAATATTGAAAGATATTAATACTTTGTTTATAATTGACTCTCTCTCACACACGCACACTTATATATATATATATATATATATATATATATATATATATATATATATATATATATATATATATATATATATATGATTGAATATATTAGTACAATATTATTTTGTGTTACCAAAGGCCCAGCTATCTTGCTTGAAGAGATTGACAAAGAAAACAATATTTCTTAAAAAGAGAAGTAATCTTTTAATTATTAAATTTTAAATTTTAAAATAATCTAACAAATGCAGACAAATTTGATCGGACGAAGAAAGATCTTTTTAATTAACATGTTTTTTCTTAGTAAGTTAATAATGTAATAAACTAAGTAAGTAAAAAAATAACAAAAATGAGAGGAGACTTTTAAGTTGTTTTTAATGAGATTTGAAAAGATTTTTTAAGAATATTACAATTCGTGCAAAAAATGGATGGGCTAAATTTAGAAAGCATGCGAACATAAAATATTATTGATCATTTCTCTTAAGTAATTTTTTTCTATCGAAAAAATGATTATCAATTCATAAAGTTTGAAGAAATACCTTTTAATTTGTTTAGAAATTATAATAAAGACGAATTGTTCAATTCAAATATACATATTTATATTAGATTTTAAAAGTAAAAAAATTAAATATAAAATATTAAATCGTTGAGAATGAAGAAACTGAAAATTAAATATAAAATATTAGAGTCAAGAAAATGAAAAGACTAAAATTAGAAGATTAGGTTATAAAAGTAAAAAGACTAAATATAAAAATCAAGTTACACCTTTAGAAAGTGAAATTAGTAATCGAAATACTAAGATCAATAATATTTTATACTTATAAAATAAAATATATTAATTGTGGAGGAACTCAACTTCACACATACATATGTTATAATATAAAATGTCTTCCTAATTATATAGAGAATAATTAAATCAATACTTAATAAAGACTAATTATATATTAATAGATCAACAATAGAGGTGTACTTCAATTCATTTTAGTCCTTTTTGCCTTTCCTCCTTTTATGATTCCAAAATTAATTTCTTGCTAGTTGTCATCAACACTATGAATATTCTTATTTTACCTAAAAGAAAAGTACGTCAACTAATTTGAATGTTCGATATTTATATTAAAATTTTATTTATTTAAATTTATCATACGTAAAAAAAATGATTTTTTGAATATGGTATAATGATAATGAGTTCATGAATTTTTGTTTCTAATATACTTTTTTATTCTTTTAAATTTACACACTTATAAGTTTTGATGAAGCACCCAAGTTGATAGTCACAAAAACTGTCAATCATTAACTTTTGATTGAAATTGTACGATTTATAAACAATCAATTCATCTATGTACATACAATACAATATTATGTTACTAAATCTGTCTAAACACATATAAGTTTAAATTAATTGAAATATGTGAACCTTTGATTCCTTTTATCTGTTCAATCTTCACGAATATCACTAGTGAACTATTAAACTATTTAATTATATGTGCAATGTTAATTACCTATATTTGTGGTCGAAGTAGAGCCAGGTTAAAAGTTTGGGATTTACTGAATCGTTAATAAATTTTTGTTATCGGTTTACAAGTTAATGTACATATATAATCATTTAATTTAATTTTCTAGTATAAATAGAGAGTTTATAAAAAAAAAAACTACTAAGTTCGATCGAATGTCATAAATCCATATCTTCGATATCGTTTTTTAAATATAATTTGTTGGAAACTTATTATTTGATGTCAAAATCAGTTGATTGGAAGGTTGGGTCCATTACATATACTTGTGGTTACAGACTCTTGATAAGTTAATTCACATCAACAGATTATGAATGGTATATATTCCAACCATATTAATTTTGAATAATTAGCAACACATTAGATTTGAACTCAACGAATAGGGTCGGATTTTATAATTATTTATCAAAGATTTAATAAAAACAGTATATGATTTCTTTAAACTTCTTGAGCGTCTTTGATAAATAAAGTTATTCGATAGTCATGTTAATGGATGATAATATATATTTTATGGAATAGTCTGATTTGGTAGCGGAGTGATAGACTCATTATTTTTATGAAGTTGAAATTCAAAATAATAATTAAAAAGATAAACACACGAAAGATCATTTATTTTTTTATGTCCCTTGCGATACCCTAACTCTGGCCCGATTGATTCACATGCACAAGTTTTGGTCCATTTATATATATATATAGATAGATCGTAAAAAATATCAAATTCAATTGAACCAACACTAGATCTAACTTAAAAAATGATGTCTCTATTATTATTGATGTCATAATCAGGTGAGTTGGAAAGTTGGGTCCATTACATGTACTTGTTGCTTTTATGGTTTATAATTCATAACATCACGGGACCATATAATATATACTTTTTATCACCAAAAATAAATGACATATTAAAAAGTAAATATATATATCATACTATTTTAAGATTATTTTTCTTGTGGGCTTTTGCTTCTCTCTTTGGTCATTGGATAAAGTTTTAGGAATTGTTAGTTAATGCATTCAAATGTTAGTTATATGGCATTTAATTCCCACGTCATATATATAATTTTAATTTATAGTAATAATTTTATATATTGGCTTGTGAGTGCGTAGATATTATAGCATTAAATTCAGTTACTTTGGTAAAGAAAAGCAATAATAAAGATTTTATTCTTTTTGACTCCTGATGATGCCATCAATATAGTTGATTTAAGATCCTTTTTTTTCAAAAAGAAAAAGGAAGATATTTAGAGCTGTTTGGCTCAGCTTAAAAGCTGATCAAACTGACTTAAAAGTTGGTTTTTGACTTATTTAGCTGTTTGACAATACTCAAAACAGCTTATTTTAAGTTAAAAAAAATTTATTTTAAGCCAAAAGTTAAAAGCTGGGGTAGGGGTGCTTTTTTTTTTTTTAGCTTATAAGTTGTTTTAAGTTGACCACATTTTTATCTTTTTGTGTTTAATATTTTTATACAATCTCCAAATTACCCATATAACCCTAACATTTCTTTCTTCCATTTTTCCCTTTTCACGTTTGACATAACAACTTCAGCACTTTTATCCAAACGCATAACTGCTTATTTTAAAAATAAGTTTCAGCACTTTTAAAAGTACTTTTTTAAAGCTGCTTTTATTAAGCCCATCCAAACGGGCCCTTAATTGGAAAAGAAGTAGTCATATTACGGTAAAGATGATACCTAGTACTCTCGTATAGCACATAGAGAATTTTGTAGTCGTTATCTTTTGAAATAAATGACACTTTTTTATAGTTACTTTTTGAAACTGATGACTTTTTGTAGTCGTCGTTTTTGGGCAAAGAAGGCACGTTGTCCTGTTCAGATACTGTAGTTGTTATCTTTTGAAACTGATAACACTTTATTGTAACTAGTTATGTAAGTGATAATTTCACCATAGTTACATTTAGAGGAGTTCTTATGTAAAGATGACACGTTGTATTCTGGTTTAGGTTTAGGCACCGAGGACATCTTATATTCTTGTTCAGGAATTAAGGATACTTTCTTATAGTTATCTTTTAAAACTAATGGCTTCCTGTAGTAATCATTCATCGGCAAAAATGACGCCTTATCTTCCTTTTCCGACACTGAAGGTCCCTTCAATTCTTCATTTTTAGTTACCTTTGTTGGTACTTTGTATGTTGAATCCTTTGATTCATAAGAATAAGGTGAGTATGCCATAGTGGAGGTGACAATCAAAGCAAATTGTTGGCCATTGCTTCTTCATTTGGCTACCCATTGAGAATATTTGAATTGTCAAGTCTAGATGGTTATTTTTTTCTTTTTGTTGTGTATTTTAGAATGAACTAGGAGTTTATATATAACTTAACTAAGAATCCAAACATATCCATTTTTTTGTTAATGCTATTCCACTAAGGTTTTGAGATAATGGGAAGCCATGAACAATTCATACACCTTACCTATTTTAAAAATTAAGTCCAATCTTCTATTGATTTCCAAGTTCCAAGAATGTTGGTTTTTGTTCCCTTTTGTTGGTACATTGAAAAATTTGACTAAATAAAATTTTTAAAGTCGAAATATACATGTTGTTGGCCCAACATATGTTGTCCATTAAATAGTTATATATACTTTTGATTCTTCGAGCACGACTTAAAACCCTCATCATTGGACCATACATTATACATACTTTTGCATCATCAAGAATAATAATTTCTTATCTCATAATAGTTGGTTTTTTTTTTATGAACATATTAAGAAAACATAAATAAGAAGATAAATTTAATAATTCACCGTTAAAAAATTTCTCAAGAATTAAATAAACAAATGTGATCAACACTTTCAAAAAGTATTAATTGCACAATTAATTGATGCTTTCTATATTTAGTAAATTGAACAGAGTTAGTATGAGACAACTATTTTTAGTATAATGATCAACTGATATGAGATGGAGGAAGGTGTCATTTATTTAATTTTATTATGTTCGGTTTAACTAAATGGTATTTAGATAAACTACGGCTAAAATTATCTAAAACGGTTAGTAAATTCACGTTAATCGCCGCTAAACCATCGATGAATTCACCTAAATTCAGTAATTAAGCAGCTAAATCGCCACTAAATTGATCCAAACGCCGTTAGTTGCATCATATAAACCGCCGTTAAATGCTGACAATATTAATGATGTAACTTAAATATTAAAAAGGGAGGGACATTTTAAAAGTATAATGTAACTCAATGACACTTACATATATTAATTCTTGTTGTTTTTGTAACATGTAATGCCCACACTCAATAGACAATATTAATGATGTTTGTTATTTTGCTATTAAATTAAATATGTGAAGATATTTGTTGGCAATATATGGAAGAAAAGATGAATATATACATATAAAATAAACTTTCATTAAGAAGAACTTGTATTAAATTGAAATAAATCTGTGGATACATTCAAAATGGAATTTAAATGACAAAAGAATGCAACTCAAAGTAGGAAAGAAAAGAAAGAAGAACAAATAAAGGATTACAAATTTTGATATCATGCCTTCAAACTCATAATATGAGAACCCTATGGGTTATATAAGTTGAGCTGGAGAAGGACTTGATTCCTTGAAACAAATGGAATATGAAAGATGAAAATTTAATAATATGGAGGTGGTGGTGATGGAGAAGGTGATGGTTTCTTGACGTAGTCATTTTTGGGCAGAGACGGCACCTTGTATTCTGGTTTAGGCACTGAGGGTACTTCTGGAACAGATGACACCTTATTGTATTTATCTTCTGGAATTGATGGCTTCTTGTAGTAAGCATTCTTTGGCAAAGAAGGCACCTTGTATTCTGGTTTAGGCACTGAGGGTACTTCTGGAACAGATGACACCTTATTGTATTTATCTTCTGGAATTGATGGCTTCTTGTAGTAATCATTCTTTGGCAAAGAAGGCACCTTGTATTCGGGTTTAGCAAGCGAGGGTACCTTTGAAACGTATGACACCTTCTTGTAGTTATCTTCTGGAACTGTTAGCTTCTTGTAATAGTCATTCTTTGACAAAGAAGGCACCTTGTATTCTTCTTTAGGCACTGAGGGCACCTTTGGAACATATGATACTTTTTTGTAGTTGTCTTCTGAAACTGATGGCTTCTTGTAGTAATCATTTTTTGATAAAGAAGGCACCTTGTATTCTTCTTTAGGCACTGAGGGCACCTTTGGAACATATGACACCTTTTTGTAGCTATCTTCTGGAACTGGTGACTTCTTAAAGTAGTCATTCTTAAGCAAAACAGGTACCTTGTATTCTTCCTTAGGCATTGAGGGTTTCTCTGGAACATATGACTCCTTTTTGTAGCTATCTTCTGAAACTGATGGCTTCTTAAAGTAGTCAAATTTTGGTAAAAATGACTCCTTATATTCTGGTTTAGCCTTTGAGGGTACCTCTGGAACATAGGACGCCTTCTTGGAGTCCTCTTCTTGAACTAATGGCTTCTTAAAGTAGTCAAATTTTGGTAAAAATGACTCCTTATATTCTGGTTTAGCCTTTGAGGGTTCCTCTGGAACATATGACGCCTTCTTGTAGTCGTTTTCTTGAACTGACGGCTTCTTAAAGTAGTCAAATTTTGGAAAAAATGACTCTTTAGATTCGGGAATATATGACTCCTTTTTATAGATATCATCTGAAACTGATGGCTTCTTAAAATAGTCAAATTTTGGAAAAGATGACTCCTTATATTCCTTTTCCGACACTGAGGGTACCTTGAAGTCTTCACTTTTGACTTCTTTGGTTGTTACTTTATTGTATGTTGAATCTGATGATTCATAAGGTGAATATGCCATAGTGCATGAGGCAATCAAGAAAAATGCCAAAGCACAAGCAAATTGCTTCTTCATTTGGCTTCCCATTGAGAAGAATTGGATTCTCAAGGCTAGATGAATAATTTTTTTTCTTTTTTGTTGTGTGTTTTAGTATGGAGGAAGTAGGAGTTTATATAGCTTAACTAAGGAGGTGATTAGATGATTTGGATGCTATCAAAATAATATTTGATATTTTCTCATTTTTTGGTTAATGCTTTTCCACTAAGGTCTTTAGATAATGGGTAGCCATGAACAATTTATACACAATTGATTAAATCAATTGTTTTTAAAAATTAATTTTATTGACTGTTCCAATAATGTTGTTCTATTTCTTTTTTGTTCGTACACTGATAATTTGATTAAATAAAATTTTAACATTGAAATATTGTTCATTATTTGATGTCACGATCAAAATTAGTTGGGTGCATAAGTTTTGATGCTTTGAGCAGGGCTCATGTATATTGACAGAATAATTTGTATTTGATGGAACCTATTTATTTCCAGTATTATCATACATTAAATCACCGATTCTTATATATATTTCATCGTCCATACATAATATTTTATCGTGAATAGTGAAATATTTTAACATTTATTTGATAAAAATGATCTATGACTGGAAATTATGTAACTTTAGTTTAATAAAAAATAGGCTAAAAAAGACATTTTTACGAGTTGATTTTTCATATGATCGTTGAATTAATAATCGTTGAATTAATAGTAATTATCTAAGAAAATCATCTTTCTTGATTCCAACTTTTTTCAACAAAAAAAAAAGTGATTTTTGAGCTAATAACTATCAGTAACTTCATATTCATTGGATATAGTAATTACTGAATGGCACTAATAAAAAGTAATTTTGTATCTTTCGTTCAACTTCATTATTTTCTCTAATTTTGTTTGTTGTTTTTGTAACCTTGAATATGTAATTTGAAGTTCTTATTATGGTTTTTATGCTCCAGTGTTTTGCTATTAAATTTATGTAAAGAAATATAATTAATAATTGCTGAAAAATTAGATTAATCTAATCTATGTACATTTTTTTATGGTTGATTTCTCATATTCTAGTGTTCAATATCCGTAATATTGAAGCCCGACTAATCTAGATGAATTTATAAATTTTCAATAGAAATAATTTATATTCAACTGAAATAATCTCTGAAAACATTCATAATATAATTTAAATGACAAAACAATTACAATCCGAAGTAGGAAAAGGAAAAAAATAAATAAAGAATTACAAACTTTGATATCATGCCTTCTAACTCATAACATGAGAACCCTAAGGGTTATATATGTTGAGCTGGAGAAGAACTTAAATGAAACATGCATGTTCAACAAGAGAGATGGAAATTTAATAATATGGAGGTGGTGGTGACGGAGAAGGGAATGGCTTCGTGTAGTAGTCATTTTTTGACAAAGCAGGCACCTTGTATTCAGGTTTAGCAACTGAGGGTACCTCTGGAATAACATTTGACACTTTCTTGTAGTTATCTTCAGAAACTGATGGCTTCTTGTAGTAGTCATTCTTTGGGAAAGAAGGCACCTTGTATTCAGGTTTAGTAACTGAGGGTACCTCTGAAACATATGATACCTTCTTGTAGCTATCTTCTGAAACGGTTGACTTCTTGTAATTATTGTTCTTTGGCAAAGAAGGCACCTTGTATTCTGGTTTAGGAACTAAGGGTACTTCTGGAACATATGGCACCTTCTTGTAGTTATCTTCTGGAAATGATGGCTTCTTGTAGTTATCTTCTGGAACTGTTGACTTCTTGTAATAGTCATTCTTTGACAAAGAAGGCACCTTGTATTCTTCTTTAGGCACTGAGGGCACCTTTGGAACATATGATACTTTTTTGTAGTTGTCTTCTGAAACTGATGGCTTCTTGTAGTAATCATTTTTTGATAAAGAAGACACCTTGTATTCTTCTTTAGGCACTGAGGGCACCTTTGGAACAAATGACACCTTTTTGTAGCTATCTTCTGGAACTGATGACTTCTTAAAGTAGTCATTCTTAGGCAAAACAGGTACCTTGTATTCTTCCTTCGGCATTGAGGGTTCCTCTGGAACATATGACTCCTTTTTGTAGCTATCTTCTGAAACTGATGGCTTCTTAAAGTAGTCAAATTTTGGTAACAATGACTCCTTATATTCTGGTTTAGCCTTTGAAGGTACATCTAGAACATATGACGCCTTCTTGGAGTCCTCTTCTTGAACTGATGGCTTCTTAAAGTAGTCAAATTTTGGTAAAAATGACTCCTTATATTCTGGTTTAGCCTTTGAGGGTTCCTCTGGAACATATGACGCCTTCTTGTAATTATCTTCTGAAAATAATGGCTTCTTGTTGTAGTCATTCTTTGGCAAGAATGACACCTTGTATTCCTGTTCGGAAACAGAGGGTACTTTCTTATAGTTATCTTCTGAAACTAATGGCTTCTTGTAGTAATTATTTTTTGACAAAAATGACTCCTTATATTCCTTTTCGGGTGCCTTGAAGTCATCACTTTTGACTTCTGTGGTTGGTATTTTATTGTAGGTTGAATCTGATGAATCATAAGAATTATAAGGTGAATATGCCATAGTGCATGAGGCAATCAAGAAAAATGCCAAAGCACAAGCAGATTGCTTCTTCATTTGGCTTCCCATTTAGAAGATTTTGATTCTTAGCCTAGATTAATTTTTTTTCCTTTTTCTTGTGTATTTGAGAATAGAGGATTTAAGAGTTTATATAACAAAACTGAGAAGGTGATTTTCCCACTTTTTTGTTATTGTTGTTCCACTAATTAAGGTTATGAGATAATGGGAAGCCATGAACAATTTATACACAGTTGCTGGACTTGTCTATTTTCAATATTTAAATCCAATTATTTATTTAACTTTAAGAATGTTGTTCTTGTGTTTTCATTGGCATATTAAAAATTTGATTAAATTAGTTTTTAAAAGTTGATATAATGTTTAGGCCTAACAAATATTGTTCATTATTTGGTATCCATTAGTTATATATGTAATTGTTTAGCACGATTTTTTATAATCCACACCATGACAGCATACTTTTTCTTTTTTAGAAATTTCCCGAAAAATTAATAGTTGCCACTGTTCGATCTTGCAAATCATACATGAGATGTAAATTGCGCTCTGATGTGAAAAAGCTTTGGCTAAAGAAATCGATCTCTGGCCTCTCTTACCCTTGCGAGTACTATACATGCTTTACATTATCAAGAATGACAAAAATTTTGGGTTTGATTAATTCTTGATACAAAGAGGAAAAATTAGAAGATATTATTGTTTCTAACGTCATATGTTTAATGTTTTTGGGTTGCTTTGTTAATTGTTTGTTATTTAGAACTTATGATTCAAATTAATTCAAATTTACGTCATGTATGATCGATTTCTAGAAAAAACTGCTCTATGGGAGATTATTTCATTCTACAGGATTGAATCCTACCAGAAAGATAATTGAATTAAAAAAATTTCAAAATATTATTTTAGAAGTTGTGGATTTAAAAAGTTTCATACTTTGAGCTCAAAAACTTCTGCGGTATAAGATCAAATGCACAATTTAATCATAAATAATGTAACATTTATTTCCCGATACCTCTTTATCTGATAAAAACGATTCACTACTTAGTTCACTTTATATCTTTATCTACAAAGAATTGTATGTTTATAACAATAGAGACCGTTTTTCTTCTTCTTTCCATTTTTCTAATATATTAGACGAATTGTGTCGATTCTTTTGAGTAATATATCTGGAAATGCACCCTATCGTACTCTTGTCTCTTGAAATCACCCAATCCTTTAAGTATCTGATGGTTGTTATGCTCCAGAGTTTTGTTATTAATAGTAAGTGAACAAATTGGCAATTGCTGGAAGAATAGATGAAAATACAACATAAACACTTGATAAAAAGAACTTGTATTCAATTGACATAAACAATCCTCTGGAAAATATTCAAAATACAAATAAAGAATTATAATTTTTGATAACATGCCTTCTAACTCATATCTGTTGAGCGGGAGAAGGACTATCTTGAAACATGTTCAACATGAGAAATGAAAATTTAATAATATGGTGGAGGTGGTGATGGAGAAGGTGATGATTTCTTGAAGTAGTCGTTTTTTGGCAGAGACGGCACCTTGTATTCTGGTTTAGGCACTGAGGGTACTTCTGGAATAGATGACACCTTACTGTATTTATCTTCTGGAATTGATGGCTTCTTGTAGTAATCATTCTTTGGCAAAGAAGGCACCTTGTATTCTTGTTTAGGCACTGAGGTCACCTTTGGAACATATGACACCTTTTTGTAGTTATCTTCTGGAATTGATGGCTTCTTGTAGTTATCATTTTTTGGCAAAGAAGACATCTTGTATTCCTCTTTAGGCACTGAAGGCACCTTTGGAACATATGGAACCTTTTTGTAGCTATCTTCTGATGATTTCTTAAAGTAGTCAAATTTTGGCAAAAATGACTCTTTATATTCTGGTTTAGCCATCGAGGGTTCCTCTGGAACAGATGACGCCTTATTGTATTTATCTTCTGGAATTGATGGCTTCTTGTAGTAATCATTCTTTGGCAAAGAAGGCACCTTGTATTCTTCTTTAGGCACTGAGGTCACCTTTGGAACATATGACACCTTTTTGTAGTTATCTTCTGGGACTGATGGCTTTTTGAAATAGTCAAATTTTGAAAAAAATGACTCCTTATATTCTGGTTTTGCCATTGAGGGTACCTCATGAACATATGACGACTTTTTGTAGGTATCGTCGAAAAATGATGGCTTCTTAGAGTAGTCATTCTTTTGGAAGAATGGCACCTTGTTTTCCTGTTCGGAAATGGATGGTACTTTTTTATAGTTATCTTTTGAAACTAATGGCTTCTTGTAGTTATCGTTCTTTGGGAAGAATGTCACCTTGTTTTCCTGTTCGGGAATGGATGACTCTTTCTTGTAGTTATCTTCTGAAACTATTGGCTTCTTGTAGTAATCATTTTTTGGCAAAAATGATGACTTATATTCCTTTTCCGACTCAGAGGGTACCTTGAAGTCTTCACTTTTGACTTCTGTGGTTGATACTTTATTGTATGTTGAGTCTGATGATTCATAAGGTGAATATGCCATAGTGCATGTGGCAATGAAGAAAAATGTCAAAGTACAAGCAAATTGAAGCCATTGCTTCTTCATTTGGCTTCTCATTTTGAAGATTTGGATTTTAAGCCTAGATATTTGTTTGTTTTTGTTTTTCTTTTGTGTTTTAGAATGGAGGAATTAGGAGTTTATATAACATAACTAATATGGTCATTTGATGCTCTCAAAATTAAATAATCCAAACATATCAAAGATTTTGCCATTTTTTGGTTATTGCTGTTCCACTAATTAAGGTTTTTGAGATAATGGGAAGCCATGAACAATTCATACACATTTGCTGGACTCACTTATTTCCAATATTTAAATCCAATTTTTATTTACTTCCAACGACGTTGTTTTTTTTGCTGGAATGTTAAAAATTTGATTGAATTTGTTTTTAAACGTTGAGATATGAGTAGACCTAACAAATATTGTTCATTATTTGGTGTCCATTAGTTATATGTACTTGTTTAGCATGAGTACTTGTAATCCACATCAAAACGCCACACTCACTTTTTTTAAGTACTTTATTTTTTGGAAATTTCGAGAGAAATTCATAAGTTCTAATCTTTGGGTGCATACTGAATAAATCCGCTCATATATATGCGATATTTTACTACATTATATATGAGATGTAAGCTGCTCTAGACAAGTCTGATATGACGAATTCGACTGAAAAAGTGTTGGCATGATAAATCGATCTCTTATCCTAGCGAGTACCATACATACTTTTTCAATACAAAGAATAACAATATCTTGGGTTTGATTAGTTCTTGATACAAATTGGAAGCTATTGTTTTAAATGTAATATATTAGATGTTTTTGGTTTGGCTTAATTATTTGTTATTTGGAACATATTGACTAAGATCGAACCCCCACCAAATAGATAATTAAGTCAATCGAATCCTTTTAAAAATTCTCAAAATATTTTAGAAGTTTCGTCTTTCTATTTGAAGCTTAAAATTTTGGCAAAATAAATATAATATATTTTACGATTAGACGTATTTTACAATTTTTCGAGTAATATATCTGGAGAGTACCCTGTCTCTTGGAATCACTCAATCCTTTAGTTACCTATTTTGAAGTATCTGATGGTTGTTATGTTCCATTCTATTAAAATTTAAGTGAAGAAATTGGAAAATGTTTGATGAAACTAAATAAACTCTCAATAAAAAGAACTTGTATTTAATTGAAATAAACAATCTTTCGAACATATTCAAAATACAAAATAGTTTAATTAAATAACAAAACAATTGCAACTCGGAATGGGAAAGGAAAATAATACAAATAAAGAATTACAAATTTTGAAATAAAACTCATAATATGAGAACTCTATGAGTTATATATGTTGAGCTGGAGGAGTTCCTTGAAACATGTTAGAACATGAAAAATGGAAATTTAATAATATGGAGGTGGCGGTGATGGAGAAGGTGATGCCTTCTTGTAGTAGTTGTTTTCCGGAAAAGAAGGCACTTTGTATTCTTCTTTAGGACCTGACGGAACCTTTGGAACAAATGACACCTTTTTGTAGTTATCTTCTGGAACTGATGGCTTCTTGTAGTAGTCATTTTTCGACAAAGAAGACACCTTGTATTCGGGTTTAGCAACTGAGGGTACCTTTGAAACGTATGACACCTTCTTGTAGTTATCTTCTGAAACTGTTGGCTTCTTGTAATAGTCATTCTTTGACAAAGAAGGCACCTTGTATTCTTCTTTAGGCACTGAGGGCACCTTTGGAACATATGACACCTTTTTGTAGCTATCTTTTGAAACTAATGGCTTCTTAAAGTAGTTATTCTTAGGCAAAACAGGTACCTTGTATTCTTCCTTAGGCATTGAGGGTTCCTCTGGAACATATGACTCCTTTTTGTAGCTATCTTCTGAAACTGATGGCTTCTTAAAGTAGTCAAATTTTGGTAAAAATGACCCCTTATATTCTGGTTTAGCCTTTGAGGGTTCCTCTGGAACATATGACTCCTTTTTGTAGCTATCATCTGAAACTGATGGCTTCTTGAAGTAGTCAAATTTTGGAAAAGATGACTCCTTATATTCTAGTTTAGCCTTCGTGGGTACCTCTGGAACATAGGACGCTTTCTTGTAGTTGTCTCCTTGAACTGATGGCTTCTTAAAGTAGTCAAACTTTGGTAAAAATGACTCTTTAGATTCGGGAACATATGACTCCTTTTTGTAGATATCATCTGAAACTGATGGCTTCTTAAAATAGTCAAATTTTGGAAAAGATGACTCCTTATATTCCTTTTCCGACACTGAGGGTACCTTGAAGTCTTCACTTTTGACTTCTTTGGTTGTTACTTTATTGTATGTTGAATCTGATGATTCATAAGGTGAATATGCCACAGTGCATGTGGCAATCAAGAAAAATGCCAAAGCACAAGCAAATTGCTTCTTCATTTGGCTTCCCATTAGGAAGAATTGGATTCTCAAGGCTAGATAAGCTTTTTTTTTTTTTTTTTATTCTTGTGTATTTGAGAATAGAGAAACTAGGAGTTTATATAGCCTAAAGTAAACTAAGAAAATGACTTGATACTTCAAATAATTCCAAACATGTATGTTTATTGCTGTTCCACTAACATTTTTGAGATAATGGAAAGCCATGAACAATTCATACACCTTTTCTTGGCTTAATTATTTTATAAAATTAAATCCAAACCTTTTTTTGAAGTTCTAAGGTACCATAAGATATTATCCAAACTTTAGGGGGTTTGGATGAATAGGTTTTAAACTTCAGTGTGTCTGAATGACAATTAACTATTTTCCCTTCTCCTTCTTCAATCGCCATTGCACAAAGAACCTACTTTTCTTTTTTGTTTGCTGAAATTCTTACCAATCTTTTGTTTCTATCAAATACTGAAAGTCCAAACTTTTTGAGGTTTCAGCAAATCACAGGTATTTTTTTTTTATGTTGATTGAGTAGCAAGATTGCTTTTTTATTCAAATTCAATGAATAAGTATGTAAAGATTGCCTTTTTAATAAACACCCATAAAGTTAAAATTGCATCAAATATGTGCATAATCAGATCTGGTTGTCTCTTTTTCTTATCCTCTTTTGTCTGCTCACTGCTTTTGGTTTTTCGTTTAATCTTACCTCTTGTTCAAACCTATGTTTTCGTATTTGAGCTGCCTTTTTTGTGGTGTTTCTGTAACTTATTTTTCTGGGCGTTTAGTGGCTTTAGGGTTGAGCCGCCTTGTTTGTGCAACTTGAATTCACACCCAATATCAAGAATGAATGAATTTGTAGTTGAGGTATCAACTTTGCGTATTCATTAGATACCAAGTTTGGCTTTTTATTCAACTCGAGAATCAAATTAGTATTGCTTTGTATATCGAATTGTGTAGAGGTTGGTTATAAAGAATATTGGGGACAGGATATGACCTTAGATAGAAGGCGTGGAGGGTAGGCGTGTCCCCCCTCCCCTCCCCTTTTTGGCTAAATTTGCAGCCTGGGGAAGGGCATTTGTGGTAGATGATAGAAAGGTGTGTTGCTAAGGCCTTGTTTTTCATTTGGCAGGAGTTCTCTAAGATGCTTTCAAGAATTGCTAAAATCCCACTAGTGAGTTCACATCCTGAGGTTTATGAACCATGTGATGATTCGTTTGCATTGGTCGATGCATTATTAGCTGATCGAACTAACATGTTACAACAGAAACCTTCAATTTGTATGGAAATTGGTTGTGGTAGTGGTTACGTTATTACATCCCTTGCTGTTATGCTTGGAGACGAAGGATTTGTTCCATACTATATTGCAACAGACATCAACCCTCATGCAATAAGGGTGACTCGTGAGACCATGGATGCTCATGGGGTTTATGCAGAGTTGGTAAACACTGATATTACCTCTGGACTTGAGAAGCGCTTGGCAAGATCAGTTGATGTGCTGGTTGTGAACCCTCCTTATGTTCCTACACCTGAAGACGAAGTTGGTTTTGAAGGCATCACTTCGGCATGGGCTGGAGGGGAGAATGGTCGAAGCGTTATTGATAAAATACTGCCTGCTGCCAACAATCTTTTGTCAGAGAAAGGCTGGTTATATATGGTCACGCTTACTGCTAATAAACCCTCAGAAATATGTCTTGAGATGAGAAAGAAGGGTTATGCATCTCGAATTATCCTTCAAAGATCAACTGAAGAAGAGAGCCTTCATATTATCAAATTTTGGAGAGATTCTGATAGCCACTTGGAGCTGAAGAATCTAAGTTATTGGTCAAAACTGGTAGGGAATTAGCCAAACACTTGATCCTTATTAATAGTTGTGAAGTGAAATAATTTATTGGTTTGGATGCTTATTAAGAGTAGTTAACTTGATGAATTATATGGAGACATTGTCCCACATCAGATAGTGAGTGGGAAAAACAGTGCTTAAAAGTAAAAGGATGAGTACACAATTTGGGTGTGAAGCTAAGAATTACATACATTCAATTGATTTGATCCTTATTAATTTTCCTTTTTTAATTCCGATGAATATGAATCGCTTGCCAAGGATTTCGTTGCTTGGACTCTCCAGAAATGTATTACTTTTAGAGGATCGGACACATCTCACGGTATTTTTGAAGGGTTCATTTCTGATTTTGAACCTTTTTACCTTGTGGCATTTATCCTACATGTTTCATAAAGAACTGTCATTAGCTCCTTTTATATGCTAAATGCAGCAAATTAAGTGTTGAAAAGTTGCATTCAGACAATTTTCTTTGCACTGTTGCAGTTGAGCAACCTAGTAAAGAGAAATTTACGAAGGGATATCCATGTTCTTTAGAAGTGTTCACAAAGATAGACGGGGTCGTTTGATTCATGGATCGAGTTATCTCGGAATTACAGTTATGCGATTATAATTATTGAATTAATTTATCCCACGTAATACTAAGTTTATCGTCCACTTTATCCCGTGAACCAAACTACTCATATGTATATACTCAATATCATCCTTATTTGCATTACCTCATTTCCTTCTTCTATTAAGTTCTCTTGTGAACCATTTGAAACAAGTGAAGCTTGACCATATGGTTAATATCTAAAGTTATGAACCTCGAAAACACTCAATTTTGTTCAATTTTACTGTTATCTAAAAGTCTAAACACAATTGGAGTACCTTTTAAATTCTAAAAATTCTTATTTAACATGTGCAAAATTAGGTAAACTAACCATACTTACAACTTATAAACCTAATAAATACTATTAATTTGATTATGCATGCATCAAATCAAATAGAATAATTCACTTTCTCATTCTATCATAAAAGTATTTCTACTTTAAATAATTATCTCAATTTCACAAAATAAATATATATATAAATATATAACACAAATACACTTTTATCAATCTAATTCCGCACATAACAAAAGCTTACATATTTAATTTTATTTTTAAAAATGTATATATATCATAATTTTGATTTTTCCTTAAAAAAAAAGAAAAACTATATGGCCGACCTTTTACCGACTTTATCTCTAATTTCTCCTTTATAATAATACTTCTCCTTTTTTTCCCATTTCTCTCTCTCTAAAACTCCTCAGCCAAACACTTCCCAACACCCCAAATTCCCATTTCATTTCCATTCTCTCTCTCTAGAAATCTCTCCATCATGGCGGCGCAGAAGAGAGAGAAAGAAGAAACCGAGCTGAAGGTGCCGGAATCCATCCCTCTATGCTCTCCAACTCTACCGGTACCTTCACCATCGCCTCCTTCTACGACGACGCACCTCTCAGTTGCTGTTATCTCAGATCTGAAGCGTTCTGATAGATCGTCGACGGAGAGTATAGATCTGAAGGTTTCTAGTATGGATGATCAATCGAGATCTACATCAGCTGCATCGCCGGAAAGTATGGATCTGGTTGGTAGAAAAACAGGGGTTAAGAGGCAAAGAGAAGCGAACCGATGTTCTGGTATGGGTTGCCGGAGGAAAGTCGGATTGATGCCGTTCCGGTGCCGGTGTGGGGAAGTGTTCTGCTCGGAGCATAGGTACTCCGATCGACATGACTGTAGTTACGATTACAAAGCAGCTGGTCGTGAAGCGATTGCTAAGGAAAATCCAGTGGTGAAAGCTGCAAAAATTCTCAAAGTTTAAAATTGGAAATCTGAAGTTTTTTTTTTTTGTTTTTTTTGGGTATTTTCAAAGTTGTTGAAGCAGTCAAGGGTGGGTGGGAAATGAATGGTGGAGGTGTTGTGTTGTAAATTTGACGAATGGATGAGGGTATTGTTGTCATTTTTAAGTTATTAAAATTATTAAAATAAGTTAGTGGACATCCTTTTTTTTTTTGCTTTTAACTTTGTGCTGCGTTGTACTTGTGTCATTTTCTCACATGAAAATTATTTATTATTCTTATCGATGGGATTATAATTTTTCTTCGATCGAGGTTTCGCTCTATAATATTTTATAATGAATTCCTCTTAGGCAATTTAAAAGGTTTCGAGTTGGAATGGACGAACATGTGTTAGTTATCAATCATTTGCGATGTAAATATTGTGGTAGGATGATCGCAATATTGAATCTATCTTTCAATAAGCGTAAATAATTATTAAACGTTAATATAATTTTTATGTGTTTGCTCCATTTTAAATTTACGTGTAAAAAACGATCCTCTTATACCATTTTGATATAATTACATACTTTTATGTTTTGTTTTACTAAATATGTATTAATCAGCAATTATTCAAGTCGAACTTGTATTCAAAGTGCGGAAAAACATTTCCTTATTTTAATTTAACTTAAAATATTATTCCCCAAAAATATCTAAATAAATTTTAATTCCAGAACAATAACTTAATTTCAATTTCAAATAATTTTTTTCCTCAAAGAATATTAGCCAAAAACACACTCTTCTATCCACGTGGCAAACAATATGAGCAAAATTTCACAGATTTGATATTTCTGCTTCACTAGTTGTACTCTTGTTCTTAAAGGGTTGTACATACTCCATAGTGACAATAGTTTTCTCATTTCTGTAATATAATAATGGAAAAATCACTATTATAGTAGGTAGGGCAACAGCGGTTTTCCATTACTCTTCTCTTCTGAGTTCTGTGGGCGCTTGATTTCCAACAAAAAGGTTAGTTTTTTGATCTTTGATGAATACCCTTTTTGATTTATGGTGATTAGTGCTATAATTAAATGTGATTCAATGAAATAAAACCAAAAAAAATAAAGAATTGACGGTGTTGATCCCAATGATTTAAGATTTTGAGGTCTTAACTGATTTTGTTGGTATAACACTGATATTGATTTGTTTAGATCAAGAAGCTGTTTGAGGTGGTGTATTTGAAATTGTATGTAAATTGGCTTGTTTTTTGTGTGTTTTATCGAGTGTTTTGATGAGGGTGTGAGAAGTTTCCAAGACCCCTTTGAGTTTCAGTTTCAAAATGTTCGATTTTTTCTTAAAAAGATGATTTTTTTGTTATAGGGGTAGGGGAGGGGGAAACGGAGCTAAAGGTGAGAGTCGAGGTAGTCAATCAATTGAGTTACTAAGATTTCGTTTGATATTTGATTTGTAGCTCAGATTCTTATATCAGTCAAAGTGCTTATTCAATGCCTTAGCGGCTGGTATTATCCGATTTCTGTAAGCATGATTTTGATGAAGTAGCTATGTCAGCTAATGTAGAAGGTAGGCTTGTGTATGTGTTTCTTTGTCTGTCTTGTTGCGGTGTGCAATTTTTTAGAACACTTTGTGGAGGACTTTTTGATTTTTACTTCGTACTCTTGTGGTTTATTGGAGCACTTCGGATTTCTTGGCAAAATTTGATCTTTAATTCGTCTTGGCGACTGGTATCATTAGATTTGTAGATGAATTGGCTATTCCAGCTGCTGTAAAGAAATTCTACTTAAAAAGATTGTCTTGGACCCCCCAGGTCTTTGTCTAGTGGTAAGTTGCTTCTTGTGATGTGTGGATTCACAGGTTTGAACCTTGGTATAGAGGGGTGGACCCATTATCCTCCTTGTTTCGAATTGTGTAACACTCCCTTGGGGATTTCTCAGTTATAAATTTTTTTTGCCTATTTGCAGCTCTTTGAGTGTCTTGTTACCAATGTGTGCTTTTTTAGAACACTCCAGGTTCCTTGGTTGTGTGTGATCATTGGTTTGTACTTTGTACTCTTGCTGGAATGCTGATCATTGGTTGTGTGTGATCATTGGAGTGTGTGACTCGCCTGAAAAGGAATTGAGTTTCATTCAAAGCAGTATGTTGCTTTTGATAAAATGTTACTGCAAGGCTATGAGTGATGGTACATATAGAGGGGCTTATGTACCTAAGTCTTTGATCCTCATCAAATTCTCTAATGGTGCGAAAGGCACATTCCCTTTTCAATGGGAGGATGTTTTTGTGATATTCTTTAAAGAAGAGTAAGTGGATATCCACTGTTGTGGGAGAGTAGAAAAGAATGAGGGAGGAGGGGTCCATGGACTTTCAGGAGAATTACTAGTTTCGAACTTCAGTTGAGGTGATTTAATGCTGTCTATAAGAGTATACACCTAAGAAGCTGGATTGGTGACAGACAACTCTTTGATGTCTCTATTTGTTTTGCCAAATCTTTTGTTTTTTGGTGGGATGGTAACTGGATTTTGTGCATGCAAATGAATTAAGATTATACATGCTCAAGCTGGTTATTTGGGATACTTTGCAAGTTACTGCACATTGTGTTAAAACAACAACATGGAATAAAGGTTAAGTAATTGCAGCTAAAAGAGCTGTTCCATTCATGTTTCAACTTGCTAAAAGTAAGTTCTTGTTTATTCGGTTTGATATGTCTCTTGTATATACTACAAACAGATGGGTCACAAGATCTTCAATTTCTTCTAGAGAGTAGTATATTAACGGTCATATGTGGAATTAGCCGAGGTGGGCGCAAGCTAGCCCAGACACCACGGTTATCAAAAATAAAATATCAGTGGTCATATTTTCCTAAAATCTTAAAACTGAAGTTTTGGAAAATCCTGTACCAATAATATACTTGATTCTAAGATTGGGTACTTTTTATGCAAGTGTGTTGGTAGAATGGTGTTTAAGCAAATTTTGAGCTCAAAACATTTAGAGTCATTTGTTTATAACTCACATTGTCGATAGACATTTGTTTGCCTGATTTGCTTACTGTTTCTATTGTTCAGGTTTAGAAAATCAGAAGTTACGAGATGGTCAGAGCTTATTCACAAGAGCACACATATAAGCATCCATGGGAAAGAGTAACTTCTGCATCCTGGCGCAAGTTTGCTGATCCTGAGAACAAGCGCATTCTATCGCATATCCTCGAAGTTGACACATTGAACCACAAGCTTGATTCCATCTCAGGGAGGCTTTATACGACTCGTGCCATAACTATTCATGCACCAGGACCATGGTTCCTCCGCAAAATCATTCGTCAAGACATCTGCCACTGTGTAGAATCAACTGTTGTTGATGCCCAATCTCGGTCCATGCAGCTCTCCACTCGAAACATTAGTCTGGAGAAGTACATAGAAGTGGAAGAGAAAATCAGATATGACCCTCATCCAGATAATCCAAAGTTATGGACCGTCTGCAAGCAGGAAACGAGTATCAGGATTAAGCCCTTATCAGCACTGGCTTCAATGGCAGAGAAAATTGAACAGAAGTGTGTGGACAAGTTTCAGGCCAACAGCGCAAAGGGAAGAGAAGTAATGGAACGAATGTGCAAGTACCTTGAAGCTGAATCCAGAGGCATTTCAGCATGATTTAGCATTTGAACTATACATTAGGTTCCTTCAACGCTACCATCCGCCCCCTCCTTTAAACGTGAGAGGTGAGTTTATGATGAGCACTTGGTTGGCAGATCGAATGTCATCGTTCTTTCTGAACTTTTTGTAAGCTACAGTAGATGCAATAACTAAGTTATCCTATATCTTCTTTGTGAGGAAATTTTACTTTAAAAAATTACTTTACCCTTGCAGTTTGAATGTGTAGACATTCTATGTGAATGACTCACAAATGAACTTAATTTTGCTGATGTGAATATTAAGCCTTGTTGAAGATACTATCTGTTCGATTTCACAGATATTATATTACTAGAAAATGTGATAAGTGATCCTTGTAAACAAAGATGTTTCATCTTTACCTTATAAGTCGACTCTAACTTGTATAAGACTAGTTATTGTGTTTAGACATGCAATATCTGAAGGAGTGTCATGTCCACTAAATTGGAACATGACAAACTTGGTCAAGATGATATCAATGGGACCAGCAACATGAATTCTACAACCTGCAAATGTTTCTTAAAGACACCCATTTTCATGAACAAACAAAACATCAAAGACAGCATGTTAAATGTTAAGTATAGATAAACACATGCCAAGATGATCATGTGGTAGAAACAATTCTTAGAGGGTTGAAACTAAGACTATTAAATTGAACCATACTGACACTAAAACCTCCAAAACTTTTATGGGTAACGGGTTGTCAAGGTATAAGGTAAATTATTTCGATATAAATTTTGAAATAAAATCAAGTAAATGACACTCATTGTTTTTAAGAGCAAACATCACTTTTTTTTTTCTTCTGGAGTTTATGATTTACAAAACAGAAATTCATGGTTGTCTCGACTTTTCGTGTGTATTAATTCATTATTTTCGCTTTGTTTGAACTCAAATTTTGTGGCATTCTTGACGACCTAGTAAATGAGACTCATAGTTTTTTGAAACACATGTAATTTTTTAGGGTTTATAAGTCACGAAAAGAGAATTCAAAATTATCTTGAGTTTTCTTGTATAGTAGTCCACCAATCTTCTGAAATATATCTAATAGACATTGTTTGAGCTCAAATTTTATTGGTCCATTCATGAGTAAATGGTATTCATAGTTTTTCATCCCATATATCATTGAAGATATTAACTAAAATCAGTATAGCTTTTTTTAATTAAAATCTCTATATAATTATTCCATAAAAAACAAAATTGATTATCCAATATATACTTTTTTTAATAATTCTTTAATATTCTGATGTTGAACCAAAATGATCCTTTTTTATGAAGAGCTAGGAAGGTCCCATAAATTACCATTTACGCATAAACTAAAGAAGGTACAAAATAATTAACCAAAAAAAATAAATGAAGAAAACAAAAATGTATTATTTATTTTAATTTGCTCTTTCCTACTTTTCTTTTTAATATATTTTTTTTATTTTGATAATTTATTAATTTTAATTTTTACGTAACATATTTAATAAGTTTATTTTATTTCTTTCGTTTCAATTTATATAATATTTTTAAATTTAAACTGTTTAATTCTCGAATAATAAAAAAATGTCACATAATATAAAATGAGAGGGCATACTTTTTTTAAAACTCGGTAATAAGTCAAACTAAGACAAACAAATTAAAAACTAGGAATTATTTGACAAAGCCACTTTTCATTGGTAGATTTGCTGATTTAGCAGCTCCCAAAACAGTACTTAATAAATATTCTTCTTCCCCAATTTACCTTTATACTATTGGACCCATTGCCCTCTCTCTCCCCCTCTCCCCCTCCATTTCTCCTTCAAGAATCCATAGTCAGATCACTGAAGAGGTAAAAATTGTAACTTTATCTAAGTTTCAGTTTATTGCTACTCTTGTCTTTGGAATTTGTTTTTACCTGTTTTAGCTTTTTGGGTTTGTGAAAGATTTGATTTTGACAGGATTTATGTAAGCCCCAACATGGGTTCTTTGTATATACTCTTATCGAGCAAAGCTGGTGCTGAATTTTTCATGGGTAACAACTTATGGTTTATCTGAATCAGTTGTTTCAAGATTAAATTTTTATGTTTGGGGTTTGTTGGATTGTGCTGATTCAGTTGTTGGCATGTTGGATTATGATGAATTGTGGGAGATAGATGTTTTTGTTTGAAGTTTAGTATTTTGGGAGTTACAAGAATGTGTTTTTAGGCTGATTTTTGGTTGTGAAGTTGGATTTTTTTTTTAGTTTAGTTATTTGGGAGTTTCAAGGATGTGTTTTTAGGAAAGGGAAAAGGATTTTAAGGGCTGATTTTTGGTTATGATTTGTGAAGTTGGGATTTATCTGTTCTGAGAAGTTACAAATTGGTTTTGGAATAATGAATAGTTCTGGTATGGGTGGTGGTTTTTTATCTGGGTATAATGGTGGATTTTTGGGGATGAATATGCTGCAACAACCTGAATCAACTAGTAATAATGCAGTTCTTGGTCATCAGATGAACCACAATAATGTTCAATCGTCGGTGAGTGCAAAAATGGGGCTTGAACATGAAAAAACTATAGGTTTGATGGATGCACAAGGTTGTATGGCTTATGGGAAGGATAAAGCAGTTGGGCCGAGTAATGTTGTGTATAATACTAGTAATAATCCTAATAGCAATACGAGTGACGAGGATGAGCCTAGCTTTAATGAGGATGGAAATGGTGAGAACAACGGTGGGGCACCGGGGAAGAAGGGATCTCCATGGCAGAGAATGAAATGGACTGATAATGTTGTTAGGCTTCTTATACAAGTAGTTGCTTGTGTTGGAGATGATGGTAGTTTGGAAGGTCCTGGAGTGGGGTTGAAGAGAAAATCTGCTTGCCTTCAGAAAAAGGGTAAATGGAAAACAGTATCCCGAATAATGATGAGTAACGGTTGTCATGTCTCACCTCAGCAGTGTGAGGATAAGTTTAATGATTTGAATAAGAGGTATAAGAAATTGAATGATATTCTTGGGAGGGGTACTTCTTGTGCTGTGGTGGAAAATCCGGTTCTAATGGACTCCATGCCGCAGCTTTCAGCCAAGGCCAAGGACACGGTGAAAAAGATACTTAACTCAAAACATTTGTTTTATAGAGAGATGTGTGCTTACCATAATGGGCAGAAGATACCTGATTGCAATGATCTTGAATTTCCAGCTCACTCTTCACCTGTTGCAGCACCGTGTGCAAAAGATCATAATGGCTCCCAGGGAGACGAAGCTGAAGAAAATGATGAAAGTGATGATGATGATGATGAATCGGATGATAACCATGGTGATGGTGATGCACGTAAAATTGGAGATTTTGATGAGAGAATGAGACGAGTTGAAGAAAATGGCTACTTCTTGCCACAAATTAACGGGAATGATAATTTTTTGGCTGAAATTAATGAGTTTTTTCATGACCCTACAAAATCCCAGTGGGATAAAAAAATGTGGATTAAGAAACGGATGTTACAACTGGAAGAGGAAAAGATTGGCATCCAGGCTGAAGCCTTTGAGTTGGAGAAACGTCAGGTTAAGTGGCAAAGGTTCTGCCGCAAGAAAGACAGGGAGTTTGAAATTGAAAGGCTGGAGAACAAGAAATTAATGTTGGAGAATGAACATATGGCATTGCAACTGAAGCATAAGCAGCACGAATTAGACAGTACAAAGCCCAACATTTCTTTCAATTCTGCACCTCTGAGCTTAGATAGACCGATGGGAAGAGATCAGCTTGATGCAGCTAGGTATCATTAGCTAGTAAGCATCGGAAATCTCCAAGTTTTTGACAGCCTGTCATCACCCCCTTTTGTTGTAAAATCTTTTTAAAATGTTTTACAGCTAACATGCAGCAGCAAACTTGTTAATCTGTTCTTTCGAATTGTCCTAGTATTTTTCTTTAATATTAACTGCATCAGCTATATGAAAGTCATGGTTGGATACTCTGATTGTTTGTCTAAACTTCTATCTGATATCATTTAGAATATGAATCTTGTGTGCCTTCTAATCGTTAAAAGTTAGTTAAGAACCAGACCCAACTTGCATTTTGTGATATTCTGTCTTGCAGTGGCATTCTTGCACAAAACTTAGTATTGTGCATCAAGAACCCTCAACTCGTCTCCACTTTGTCAGTTGAGCTCTCCTACTAGCAAATGATCATCTAGACACCTTCAAAATTTAGATGTCAGATCATTGTCGGGTGTCTACATGGCACAGTGGGATGAATTAGTGTTTAGTTGAAAGTTGAGACCAAGTTGAGGTGTCTAGATATGCTTACAAAGTTTGTTTGAGTGTCTGTTTATGTATTAAATGTCTAGAGCATCATGTCACCTCTTGTTATTTGTTTAGTTTGGAGATCACCTATGATGTTCCTTGGTCTAGACTTTCTATGCTCTGTTGTACATCCATATTTGGTGTTGAAATAGGCCAGTCTTTCCCATACAGTTCTGTTTATTCAAAGCTTCTGAACTGGCAGTAGCTGCCTAGTAACTCCCCTCGACCCCTGCTTTTCCTTTGCAGAATCAAAAACTTTGGCAGAGCTAGTTCGCCAGAAAATCACACCTCATATACAAGGTCAAGTTTTTTGGTTTATGTGTAGTATACGTTGAATTCCCTTGGTGAAAATCCTGCATCCGCCATAGTGCTCCCTTTCCCCCATCCATTTCTCTCTCTCTCTCTCTCTCTCGGATTATGAGAGTTATATTCCCCTTTCCCTTTCCTTCTCTCTCACGCACACACACAGTGAGGGAGATGCATGTATAACTTTGAAAAACTATTGTTATGCATTGCCAAACTGTTATTACTAGACAGAGACACTATCCTTTCATGCTGATATTTTGCAGTTTATCATTCTGTACCTCTCCCCAAATTTATCCCAGTGACTACACTTTTTAAGGGTTGTTTAAGATATGATTTCCCAAGATTGATCTTGAGAGAAAATTGATCTTCTGTTTGGTAGGAAAGGTTTACTAAACGAACACAATATAAATTTTATCCCAAGCTTGATCTCGAATATCCCATCAAACTTGATTATTTTATACCATCTCTTATGTGAGATAAATTAGCCCAATGATTATAATCCTTGGACCATAATTCCGGGATAATCTAGTACGCAAACCAAATTACATACTAATTTAGAAATCTGCAGGCTAGTTCCTCTGTGTTATACAATCTGTTGTGTTCTGTTTTCTGATGAAAGCTCTCCCCTGCATACTAGACACTCTTGGACTACACTTTAAGGGTTGTTTGGTACGTGGAATAACCACTCCCGCTAGCAACAGGTACTAGCTCATGTAGTCGTGTTGTACATACACTACCTAGTGTTTTTGTTTCTGCAAAGAATTTGAAATTCGAGATCTCAGGGTTCTCAATTGACTTCGACTTGGGCGATTACAATTACCAGGTCATTTCATTGTCACTAAAATTGCATTTGAAGGCATTGTATAGGATGAATTTGATAAAGATTATCTAAACTTCAATCATATATTATTATAAGTGGGAAGCTCCAAAGTGAAAAGTTGAATTATCATTTTACCCCTACACAAATTGAAAGACTATAAAATATTTAATTAAACTCATCTAATATAATTAATTAAATATTTTTATCTTTAAATAATGAAAATACTCCTTTGATAATTTGTGTAAGAAAAAGTAAATATATATTTAAATAAATGCTATTGACTACAATACAATGAATGTTTAATTTCAAGATTGATTCTTCATATTCTTGTATGTGTATTAGTACATATATTGAATAATTATACTCAGCCGCTTCAACTTTAAACAATAACTACAAATTTAGTTTTTTTTAAAGAATAAAATATAAAGTGTCCTTTCACTTCTTCTATAAAGAAATTCAATGATATTTTATTAATCTTTTTATAACTTTGACTTTTGAATTTCTATATCTTGACTATAAATATCATTTTGTGCTTCACTAATTTTTCCATACGTAAATTGTTCCATGATATATGGTGTATTAGTTTTTATGATAGCTAATTCTCTGCACTCCTTGTATCTTAATATTTGTTTGATAATTTTATCGTAGATTAATTAAGATCTGTTTAAATTTCTCTTCTATGTGTTCAAGTGGAATTTTTATTTTGTGTTATTATATTAGAAATGAAGATGTTATACGTTTATTGATGTTCATTAATAATATATTTGTTACTTTCACCTTTCATCCATGGAATGAGTTAATGACATATTCATGACAATCCTTTCAGTCTCTCAATTATATCTTATCGGAAGATATTTTGAATAATTGGAAGAGAATAAAGAAAGTTGTCATCTCTTACCTGTCTATATTTTTTGTACTTTTTTCTTTCATATTGTTATTTTTAGCTTCATTTTAATATTTTTGTTGATTTCTGTAGAGGTGTTCTTTTATTTACCATTAAAAAATCTCTATTTTCTTTTCCGAGTTAATTCCTATTTGATAAATAAATAACTACAAATAAAAAATTATTGTACACAATAAGACTTTCTTTGCATGGTTGATAATTGTTCTTGCTTTGGTGACCACAAATGTAAGTTGTATAGCTTTTAAAATACTTTATTCCTGATTTACTATTTTATTTTACAAACTTTATAGTAAAAAATAGAGTTATTAGTTCTATTAAAAGTGTGAAGCAACAAAGTTAAAGGTTGGATTACTAAAATAATCCTATAACTTTATATAGAGTATAACACTCTTTGAAAATATAAAATATGAAGAGTTTGAAGGGTTACTTAATAATTAAATACATTTAATTCAATATACCATATTCATCTACTAAAAGTCTTTAGCTACTGGTGAAATATGTAAAGATGTTTGAGACTTTGATTTCCCTCATTCACTTTCTTTCATTTAATTCATTTTAATTCTAACATGAAGTTTAAGTTCAAATTGTCCAATTTAATTGATTATTTTTCTCTTAGTTAAGTTAAGACTCATCTTTACAAGAAAAAAATACATATATCTTTCAATACAAAAGAAATGCTTTGTTGATTTTCTTGTAAAGAAAATTTGAGATAGCTGCAATATGAGTATGCCTTCTAGCTTGCCTATTATCATATATTATTATAAGAGGGAACAAAAAAGTTAAAAGTTGAATTACGATTTTACCCTTATTATAAATTAAAATATTATAAAAATATTTAACTATTTAATTTAAATATTAAGTTACATTATTTTATGGAAATGTTAATGACTTTTGCACTTCTTTAGAATAATTCTTAATTAAAATATCTAATTTAATTTATTTTCTTGAATTATTTACCCTTTAAATAGATACATGTATATGATTTATCTTCTAAATTAATTTATGTTCTTAATTAATATTTGTCTTAAATTTTTGTAACACTTGACCTTTCAACTTTGTAAGTGAATCTTCATATTCCAAAGCTATATTTTTTCCTATAAATACAATCTTTTAACATTATTTTTATAGGAAGATTTATATGTGATACAATTTTTGTGTGGAAGACTAGAAAAGCTTTGATCAAGTGAAGAAAATTTCAAGGCAAGAAAATTTATGTCAAGATTACAAGGCATAGTATGATTCTACTAAAGTATCGAAGCTTGATGTATTTTTTTTTTTTACTTATTTGTCGAGATTGGAACTATGGTAAGACCCCGCCATTTATGTAGTTAAATATCACTTCCATTAACTTGTCTTCCAAATAATTTAATTTTTTATGATCAAAAGTTGAATGTTTACTACTAAAACTTTGTTTCAATTTGCATTTTCAAGAAAAAACAGGAAAAAGATTGTCTTAGAATTTTTCTGTTTTTCGTTGGTTGCGTTATGCTAAACTAGTGTATAAGACATGCAAAACAATTAATGCCTACAAGATTTTCTAATTTCAAATTATTAATAATTACGTTTATGCATTTTAAATTTTAAATATTTGTAAAGAATCATTCTTACATGTGCTTGTGGATAAAATCTATAGTTTTTCGACAATTTTCATTAAAATTATCATGAGATCCAAATCCCAAAGTCAAAAAAATGATACACCAAAATGCTTAAGAAGTTAGAAGATCTTCTATCCTTTGACCAAATATTGCTCCTATTAATTTTTTAACAAAAAAATTTAAAATATATTTTAACAAACTTTTAATTGTAAGAATACTAATATTGTCATTTTGACTCTCCATTAAATTAAAATCTAATTTATTTAATTAAATATTAATATTTTATTTATATAATTACATAATTTAAATATCAATCATTGCACTTTAAATCTTAGTTATTTCCTTCTAATAAGTTTTTTATTTATAAATTTGAATTACTTAATTGCCTTCTACTTAATGAGAAGGAGAATTTCATCTTTTACTAATTAATGTCAAACATTTTATCTTCTTGAAATGTATAAATATTAATTTAATTTCAACATTTTTATGAGACAAAAAAGACATTTTAAGAAAGTTAATCATAAGATAGTGTGCCTCCATTTTTGTTTTTGCTACTTTATTTTATCTTTTAAAACAAAAATTATTTATCATTTTATTCATCCTTATGAAGTAAACGTGCAACGCACGTTTCGGAAACTAGTTTCTTATATATGTGAAAGTTCTTTATGTATTTTTTTTAATTAATTGTTGTAATTTGTAACTATTTTTTTTGTTGATCTATTTTTATTCTATCAGTAAATTACTAAATCAAAATGTACAACACACATTTAACAGATAATTATTTTTCTTTCACACTATTTGTGGTTTCTTCGTCTTTAATATCAAAAAGGTCATATAAACACATCGTTACAACAACTTCATGCAACTTAGCTTGGGACACACGTGCAACGCACGTGCCCGAAACTAGTATAAAATAAGTACCAAATGTCGATATATATAATATATAAATTACTATTTAAAAAATAAATAAATATGAAGTTATTAAATTGAGTCACAAAAACCTTAAATTTGAATCTATCAAATTTAAATTCGTATGGTTAATCGTACCTGACTTCTATATTCCTTTGGTTGTAGATCTTCTGTTCTATCATTGCCACCGCCGATCTAAGTAGAAGATAGCTAAACCAGATGTCTAGTGTTTATCGCACTTGACTTCTATATCTCAGTATTTATAGATCTCTTTTTCTAACATTGTTGTTGTCGATCTAAGAAGAAGGTAGCAAAGTAAGATGTCTATAGTTCATCGCACCTGATTTTTTTATTTTTTTTTTATACATAGAATTCATTTTCTATCATTGTTGTCGTCGATCAATTTCAGATACCTAGTGACGCCGCCAATCTAAGCATAATGTTTCAGATACCTAGTGATGCCGCCAATCTAAGTAGAATGTTTCAGATACCTAATGATGGGACCGATCTAAGAAGGGTTCAGATGCCTAGTGAACTCATTCGTAATAAGTAAGGGTTTAGTAGGCCCACTTGTGTCGGAGAATCTTTTTTTTTCTTCTGTTTTGCACTCAGTATCAGTATTCGTCTCAAAATTTTAGCTAAATCAACTTCAAATTGTATACCGTCATTTAAAATATGAATTACTTTCACTAAGATTTTTTAATTCTCAGGATTCAGATCCCCTTCCATCACAACCATACGATATAATAAAGGACCTCAAAATCCTTAATACATCATTTTGTAATTATGAAAAAAATAGCCAAATGTCCCAAAGCTACTGTTCAATTACTAACTATACACAGAGATTTTAAAGGAATATTTTAAATGTAAAATATATATCTCTTAAAAACCTTTAAATATTTTATCTTTTTTACTTTTAAATTTACAAATATATATTTAAGAGTTATTATCTAAAAAAACCATTGATATATAGAATAATATCACAATATCCCAACAAAAATAGAAATTATCTTTCCTTTCTCAAAAATCCACTTGTAACAATACATTAGATATATGTTTTTGTTGTTTAAAGAAATATTTCTATTTCCCTTCACAATTGAGAAATGGATACGTACCCTACTTGTCTTTTTTTTTTTTTTTTATAAACATAACAAAAAAAATAAAAGTTGCATATAATTTTATTTAGTCTTTATTAATTCACCTTTTGGTATCACTAATACATGTATAATTTTATATAATAATTTAGATATTATCTTGTCAATAATCTTAAGTTTTCAAACTCATTAAATTTGATCCAACAACTCATTCAATTTGATGTCACATATTTAGGTAGTCCCTAATCTATTGCAATGGGCCATGGGGTAGTTGTGCACTAAAAAGAAGTCATGTGACATACACACTAAACTTCAGATGTTACTCTTTCATCGAAGGTATCTAGTTGTGCAATCTCAAAATTTAAGTGTTTATTTATGTATAATGCATTTTAAATATAAGATTTAACACGAAACTGAAACACCTTTCAATCAGCTCATTGTTTAACTATAATTTTTCTTTTATGAAATAACTGTAATATTATTGCTTAAAAGCATACAAAAAAACTGATTAAACATCATTTACATCACAATGTTACACAAAGAGAACAAATGTAACTTGTCAAGCTAAGCTATTATTTCTTCTTTTGTCACTTCTTTGCTTTTGCTGCTTCTTTCTCCTTCCCATCATTATTTTGTGTTCCAGTTCTACAATGATTCTTGCAAGCCATCTTGGATTTCCAGTTGAGAACATGATATATATTATGGATAATCCAATACATAGTCCACTTCCATACCCCATAAGAGCAGCTTTCCAAAAATCATTCAGAAATTCAGAGTCGTTTTCTTCATCGTCTAGTCCAGATGTGGTATCATTTGTCTCTGAATCATTACCACAACCTTCTGAAAGTGGGAATCCACGTAATCTATCATTACCTTCATATGAATTGTTCTCAAAGGTATGGAATTGTTTTCCTTGAGGAATGCACCCTTCGAGATGATTGTAGGAGAGATTTAAGACTTCAAGAGAAGTAAGAGAAGCAAACTGTGCTGGTATCTCTCCTACAAGATGGTTGCCTGACAGGTCCAATGATTCAACTGAAGACAGACTTCCAAGTGATGACGGTATATGACCTTGTAATCCATTATGAGATAAATTCAGCACACGAAGTGCAATGAGATCTCCCATAATACTTGGAATATATCCTTCAAATTTGTTGTTTGAAAGATCAACAGTGGTGTACAGGAACAAGATTCTTACAACTTCAAGCTCCAATCCCTTGGTTACGAGAGCTACTGAGTCTTGGTAATATCGATTCCCTTCATCACTCGGTGCATTCATCGTTTGATCAACTGTCCTCATGGCTTTCAAATGTTGCAACAGACTCGTTGGTAAGCTTTTTGTGAAGGCATTGGAGGACAGATCTAATATTCTAAGCTGAGGAAACATGTTTCCAGTCGGTAGAGTTTTAATGGACCCATGCAATTTATTGGATCTCAAACTTAGAACTTTCAGCTTTGGCAGAGTCCCCAACCACACGGGGAATGTGTCATTGAGGTTATTGTCTCCTAAATCAAGAACGTCAAGTTGCTTGCAATTGGTCAAGGATTGTGGGATTTTCCCCTCCAGCTTATTCCCACGAAAGTTGAAGCTTTTGAGTGCACTTCCAATTCTGAAAGTCGTTGGAAGAGTCCCTGAAAGGATGTTGTGGTGCATATCCAGAACCTCGAGGCTACTGATATAACCCAAGCATTGCGGAATTTCTCCCTTCAAATTGTTTCTTGCCAAATCAAGCATTACCAGTGATGTCAAGTTGCAAATATCTGAAGGAATTTCTTCACTCAGATTATTACGGGATATAAAGAAGAATCTTGTGGAAATTGGTGGAATAGGTAGTGAACCTTGAAGCAAATTGGACCGTAAATCAATAGCTTCTATAGACAGAAGAGGAATTGAATCAACACCTTGCAGCATGTTGTGGGATAAATTAAGACGTTGCAATGAAAACATCCAGTTAGACCATGCCCAATCAGGAATTCTTCCTTGAATCCTATTATTTGAAAGATCCAAATGCCAAAGAAGCTTTGCGGATCTTAGAAACTCCAATTCTTTCACTTCACATGCGGCCAACTGTAAGCTCATAAGAGATCCTGGCAAAGTAACATTATGTTTGTTCTCATTTGTCAACGAGATATGATTATATGAAAGATCAAGATAGTAAAGCTGTTTGAGGTCAGCAAAGAGGCTGACATCCACATGGCCACTAAAATTATTGAAAGAAAGAATAAGGCCTGTTAGGTTCACATGGTTTTGAATCAACTTGGGAAGAGGTCCTTGCAGCTGATTATTGCTTAAATCAATCCAGATCAGTGAATTTGAATTGAAATCCTCAAACTGACCAGAAAACTGGTTATTGCTTAAGACTAAACGACTTAGTGACGGAAGAGAGAACATCCCTGATGGTATTGTTCCATTCAGGGAGTTATATTGAAGGTCCAAATCCTCTATGCGCGTGAGATTCAAAAGAGATTCAGGAATAGGCCCTCTAAGTTTGCAATTTTTAAGAGACAAAGAATGCACCGAAGTTAGATAGCCAATAGACTCAGGCAAATTATCAGAAAAATTCACGCCACTGAGGTCTAACTCGATGAGAGATGCACTACTGTTCCATTTAGTCTTCGGAAAATAACCAGTGAGCTGATTGTTGTTTTGTAAGACAAGTGTTTCCAGATTGGGAAGGTGAAAAATACTCTCAGGTATTATCCCGTACAATCCTGTATTTCCCATCCTCAGAGTTGTCAAATGAGAAGAAAAATTTGGAGGAATGGTGGAAGAGATGTTTATGGAAGTAAGATCAAGCTCTCTTAATTGAGTCAAATTCTGAAGGAGCAATGTCAAATCATGGGCTGTGAGTCTTAGAATAGTTTCAAATGACGGGGAGAGATGAAGAGACTGTAATTGAGAAAGATGGGATATTTCAGAAGGGATATGACCTGAGAAATAGGAGTCAGAAAGATCAAGAAGTGTCAAGCTCGAGAACCTTCCAAATTCAGGCGAGATGTGAGAATTAGAGAAGTTATTAGAAGAAAGGTCGAGCCTTTGAAGATGAGAGAGTTGGAAGAGACTGCTATTGGAGTCAATCTTTCCTACAAGACCACTGCAACTGAGATTAAGTTGAATCACATGGCCAGTCATTTCATCACATATGACTCCATCCCATGAGCAACAATCTCTGCTCCTATTCCATGAACTCGTATAAGAGTAGGAACTACACGTAACTAATGAGGAATCTACTGTGAGTGTTTTCTTGAATTTTAAAAGAGCGGTGCTTTGATCTTTGTGGCACAGATGAGGTATAGATGAAGAAAATGAAAACTGACAAAAACAGACAAAGAGCAGAAATAAGAATTTTCTGTATCCCATGATTTAGTTCAAGTTGCTTCGAAATACTGAGTGATTCTGTGTACTGTGAGTTGGTAGTGAAAATTAAGAAAAGGCTATTCATATCTATATAGGAAGATTTCTTTGACTAGTCCTATTTCATTGAAAGGTACACTTACGTCTGTAGACAAGGACTTAACCAAATAGTTTTGTTGTGTTAAGTCAAGACAGATAATGAATTATGAATGTAAATGTGTTACACATATAATTCAGACAAAGACAACCAAATAGTTTGTTGCGCTAAGTCAAGGAAGATAATAAATAATGAATGTAAATGTGTTACATATATAATATAATTCAGACAAGGACATAACCAACTAGTTCTGTTGTGTTAAGCCAATACAGATAATGAATTATGAATGTAAATGTGTTACACATATAATTTAGACAAGGACTTAACCAAATAGTTTTGTTGCGTTCTCATTCCACTTGTCCGACTCTAAAAAGTATAATGTAAATGAGGATCTCAAGTAATGATATTGGAACACAACTTATCCACAAACGATTGAGTCTGCACTGATAATTAATATGGGTGTGGTTTAACGGACAATGAAGTGGATGAAAACCATAAGAGATCTGTAGGGTTCAAATCTTAGTAGAGACACAAAAATACTAGCGATTTCTTCCCATGTGTTAGAAATCTGAGATAGTAAACCTCCATTCATATCGTTGCTGGTGCTGGTATGTTGGCTTGATATAATTACCTTCAGGGACATCCCATACTCTGCCTTCACTTCTTTCTCGAGCTCGATTATATTAGGGACAACTGATAACACATTCTCAAGTTCAAAGTCTTCTTCATAATTGAGTCCCTCTTATATTCTGTGAGATGAGTATTATTCATTTGCAAGTTGTACAGTGAGTAGCCAGGAATCCAAGCAATGCATAAACTTTATTCAATACACTACTAATTTTGTGTTCCAGTTTTTCAATGATTCTTGTGAGCCATTTCGGAATTCCAGTTGAAATCATGAAACATTGTACATATAATCCAATACGTAGTCCAATTTCATACCTTATAAGAGCAGCTTTCCAAAAAATATTGAGAAATTCAGCATCGCTTTCTTGATCATGAAATCATGAATATAATCCAATACATAGTCCAATCTACACATAATATTCCATTGAATACATTAAAACATTACATAACTTGATATATCATAATATTACATTTCCTAAAGTTGATAGAGGAAGAATAAAAAGCCTACTTATAAACCAAAAGCTGCAGTTTCTGATATTATTGTATCTCTGATGAGCATTCCAATGAGTTCTTCTCCAACCACCTGCATATTTGAATTTGTTTATTTACTGTTTGATGTTTATATTTACACAAAGAAAGTCAAGTCTTTTATTATATGCTAAAATGAAATTACAACTTGAAAAAAGAGTTATTAAGTCCAGCCAATTTTACTCTAAAACTAATTATCTGTTGGTTCACACTTGAAGAACTTGTTAAACGAAGCCTCTAACCAGATAATTGAATCACAGCTTCCAACTAATTTTGGACAGAAAAATAAGCTTTGTATAGCATTCAATTAGTTGCTGATATAACTAATATGAATAATTGAGATATAGTTAGCTGCAATAATCTAAAGCTCAAACAAGAACTTTACTGCATATATTCCTGAATTTTTAACCCTTTTACATGCGATTATTTGCTTCTTGTGTAGCTCCTTTGCTTTGGCTGCTTATTTCTTCTTCCCATCATAATGTTATGCTCCAGCTCCACAATAATTCTTGCAAGCCATATCGGTTTTCCAGTTGAGATCATGATATATATAATGGACAATCCAATACATAGTCCACTTCCATACCCCATTGAAGCACCTTTCCAAAAATCATTCAGAGATTTCTTCATCATCTAGTCCAGATGTGGTATCATTTGTCTCCGTATCATTATCATCACTACCACAGACTTTTGATAGTGGAAATCCACTTAATCCATCATTACCTACATATGAATTGTTGTCAAAGGTATGAAATTGATTTCCTTGAGGAATGCACCCTTCGAGATGATTGTAGGAGAAATATAAGACTGCAAGAGAAGAAAATTGTGCTGGTATCACTCCTACAAGGTGGTTACTTGACAGGTCCAGTGATTCAACCAAAGTTTAATCTTCCAAGTGATGGAGGTATATGACTTTGCAATTCATTATGAGATAAATTTAGCATGCGAAGTGCAATAAGATCTCCCATAATACTTGGAATATGTCCTTCAAATTTATTGTTTAAAAAATCGATAGTGGCGTACAAAAACAAGATTCTCACAACTTCACGCTCCAATCCCTTTGTTACGATATTTACAGAGTCTTGGTATCCATCTCCTCCATCACTTGGTGCATTCATCGCTTGACAAATTGTCCTCATGGCTTTCAAATGTTGAAACAAACCCGTTGGTAAGTTTTCTATGAAGGAATTAGAAGAGAGATCTAACATTCGAAGATTAGGAAATATGTTTTCAATCGTTGGAGTTCTAATGGACCCATGCAATTCATTGGATCTCAAGCTTAAAATTTGCAGCTTTGGAAGAGTTCCCAACCACATGGGGAATATATCAATGAGATGATTATCTCCTAAATCAACAACTTGCAACTCTTTGCAATTGGCCAAAGATTGGGGAATTTTCCCCTCTAGTTTATTGCCGTTCAAGTTGAGGCTCCTCAGAGAACTTCTAAATCTAAAAGTGTTTGGAAGAGTCCCTGTAAGACTGTTGTGGTGCATATCCAGAACCTCAAGGCCACTGATATTACCCAAACATTGCGGAATCTCTCCCTTCAAGTTGTTTCTCGCTAAATCTAGCATTTGCAATTATGTCAAGTTGCAAATAGATGAAGGAATTTCTCCACTAAGATAATTTTCTGATATGAAGAAGTATGTTGTGGAATTTGGTGGAATAGATAGGAACCCTTGAAGAGAATTGGAATTGCAAATCAATTCCATACTTGTCAGCATGTTGTGGGACAGATTAAGAGTTCTCAATGAAAACATCCAGTTACATGATGCCCAATCTGGAAATATTCCTTGAAGCTTATTATTAGAAAGATCCAAGTCCTCGAGCTTCTTTGCGGATCTTAGAAACTCCAATTCTTTCACTTCACAGGCAGCCAACTGTAAGTACACAAGTGACTCAGGCAAAGAAAAATTAACATTATTTTCATTCGTCAATGAGATACTATTATAAGAAAGATCAAGAGATGAAAGATGTTTGAAATCTGAAAAGAAGCTGACATCCACATTACGACTAAAATTATTGAAAGAAAGATCAAGATTTGTGATGTTCACAAGGTTTTGAATTGACTTGGGAAGATTGCCTTGCAGCTGATTATTACTTAGATCAATAAATAATCGTGAATCGGACTTGATATCCTCAAGCTGACCAGAAAAATGGTTATTACTCAATTCTAAATCAATAAGTGAAGGAAGGGAGAATATCCATGATGGTATTGTTCCATTCAGGAAGTTATCTGCAAGGAACAAATACTCTATGCGAGTGAGATTCGAAAGAGATTCAGGAATAGGCCCCCATATATTGCAGAGAACAAGAAACAAAGTTCTCAGTGACGTTAGATAACCAAGAGACTCAGGCAAATTACCACAAAAATTCACTCCTTGTAGATTTAAATCTATGAGAGATGCGCTGCTATTCCATTTGGTCTTTGGGAAATAACCACTGAGCTTATAATTGCTGGATAAGTCAAGTATTTCAAGTTTGGGCAGGTGAAATATACTCTCAGGTATTACTCCATACAACTCTGATTTCCTAAGCACCAGAGTTGTTAAATGAGAAGAAAAATTAAGAGTAATGGCAGAAGAGATGCTTACACCTCTAAGATCAAGCACTCTTAATAGGGTCAAATTCTGAAGGAGAAACCTAAAATCATGGGTTGCGAGTTTTGGCACAGTGTCATAAGATGTTGAGAGAAGAAGAGATTGTAACTTGTAAAGATGAAAGATTTCAGAAGGAATTTGACCAGAGAAATATGAGTTCCTGAGATTAAGATGAATCAAGCTCGAGAACCTGCCAAATTTAGGCGAGATATGAGAATAAGAGAAGTTATTCATAGAAAGATCAAGACTTTGAAGATGAGAGAGTTGGAATAGGCTGATATTGGAATCAATCTTCCCTACAAGACTGTTGCAACTGAGATCAAGTTCAATTACATAGCCTGTCATTTCATCCCATATCACTCCATCCCATGAGCAGAAATCTATGCTCATATTCCATGAACTTGTATAATAGTAGAAATTACACAAAACTAATGAGGGATCAACAGTAAGAGTTTTCTTGAATTTTAGAAGAGCGGAGCTTTGATCTTTGTGACACAGATGAGGTATGGATGAAGAAAAAGAAAGCTGACAGAAACAGACCAAGAGAAAAAACGAGAATTGCCCGTAGCTCATGTTTAGCATCAATGAGTTTAAAGCTGATAATGAAAATCAAGAACAGGCTACAGAAATATATATAAGCTGATATATATTTAGCAAGGACTCTTTCTTTTCGAATAATTTGAAACTTGAAACATCATATATAGTTAAGTATTTCACCTTAATTTTTAACTGTCTTGATTGAAATGCTTAAATAGATATTCTTTTTAACGTATATATATATATACCATATTTTGAATCCCCTTAGTGAAAATCTTATATTGAATTGGCCGCATTATTGGTCTAGTCAAGTATAAGAAGACAAATAAGTAGGACAACATTACTTTCAATAGACCTTGTTTTGTATTTGTCTAAAGAAAATAAATTATCTTTTGTGACAGGCTGAGAGCTAAATATACATCATATTTAGAATTAGTGCCAAACAATGGAAATCAATTCAAAGCTTATATGTTGATGAAAACAATTAAGTAGACTATTTTGTTGGAAGTTTTTGTTGTTTCTCAGGTCTTGCATAAGAAACCAATGTAGGAAAACATTACTTTCAAATTAGTCTTATTCTTTTGTAATTGTCTAAAGAAAAACCAATTATTTTCTTTTGTCAGATTATTTCAGTCAGTGGAAGCACTTTTGAGTTAAATCTATGTATTTCGTTTTCAACCAACAAACTCTTCGAATTCGTACCCATTTTGATGGTCAAATGAGCCCTGAAGTCGGTAAACCTCCAATTTTACCGACTTTCATGAGCTATAGTTCATAGATTGTTGGTGATCTGAAATTCCGACATCTTTTTTTCAAAAATTGCGTGGACACCCGTTGAGACGTTAGATATGGAGTCAGTTGGCACTAACGGCCAAAAATACCCATTTTAAAAGTTATACGAGCCCCCGTGCAGATAAACCCCTCACTTTACTGATTTTCGTGTGCTATATTCCATGATTTTTTTTTTGTGATCTAGAATTCCGATGTATTTTTTGCCCAATGCTTTTTTGAGAACGTCCATTAAAATGTTAGTTATGGAGCCTTTGGCCCTGATGGCCAAAATAGCCCATTTTAAGTTCAAACAAGGTCTAGAATGAGAAGTATTTGAAAAAGCCCATTTTTGTGCGCATTCGTGACAACTTAATTAATGACATAGGTTGGTCTGGAAGGGCAAATGTTGGAATTTTCAAGTTCAAACAAGTGCTGGAGCGAGAAATATCGATTTTTCCTTTTTTTGTCGTGCTATAGTCCATTGATTTTGGGGTGATCCCGACGATTTTCTTGCTGTGGGTGTTTGTGACGACCTTATTAATGGTGTGCATTGGTCTAGAGGGGCTAACACTTGAAATTTCAAATGCAAACAACGTCTAAAATGAGAATTACTGATTTTTCTATTTTTCATGTGGTATAATCCATGGATTTTTGGTGATATGTGATCCTGATTGTTTTTTTGTCAAAGTTTTCTATGGGTGTCCGTAACAACATATTTAATGACGTATGTTGGTCCAGAGGGTCAACAGTCGGTATTTTAAAGTTCAAACGAGGTACGGAATGGATAATATCAATTTTTTCCATTTTTCATGTGAACTATAAACCATGAATATTGGATGATATGTAATCGTGATGGTTATTTGACCGAAATATTTTGAGTGTATGTGACAACCTTTTTAATGGTTTGCCTTTGTTTAAAGGGGCAAACGTCGGTTTTTTTAAGTTCAAACGAAGCCTAGAAAGAAAAAAAAAATGTTTTTTTTCCATTTTTCGGGTGTGATATAATTAAATCACTAATACTATCTTTAGCGGCGACTCATAAATGTTTTACTGACGGTTAAGTTGCCACTAAAACAATCTCTTAGTGGCATATTTTAATGATTTAGTGGCGTTTAGCCGCCTCTAACACAAATTTTTTGCGGCGACTCATATAGGAATTGGTGGCATTTATAGTTGCCACTATACTTACTTTTAGCGGCGACTATTATATGATTTAGATTTTAGTGGTGAAAATAGTTGCCACTAATAAATACTTTTAGCGGCAAATATAATGATTTTTTGTAGCGACTTTAGTTACCAATAAAACATATTTTTTGTGGCGCGTTTATTGGAATTAGTGGCGGTTTTAGTTTCCACTTATTCTTTCTTTTAGCAGCTAATTTATATGATTTAGTGGCGACTTTAAACGCCGCTAAAACTCTTTATTTTTATTACTATTCTAACCGCCGCTAAAACTATTAATTTTGTCACTAAAAATACGTTTTTGCGGCAACAATGAATGCTGCTAAAACTAAAAAATTTTGTCACTAAGAGTAACTTTTGCAGAGACAAAAGAGCTTTTAGCGACGACATTCAAGGCTTTTGTGGCGGTTTTCGCCACTAAAGTCCCTTTTAGCGAACGAAATTCATCACTTTTTGCGACGAAATTTATTACTTTTTGCGGCAGTTATAGTCGCCGCGAATACATACTTTTCGCGACGAAATTCATCAGTTTTTCCGACGGTTTTAGTCGCCGCTAATACTTGCTTTTAGCGACGAGATTCATCAGTTTTTGCGACGGTTTCAACTGCCGCTAATACTCACTTTTAGCGACGACATTCATCACTTTTTGCGACCATTTTAGTCGCCGCTAATACTCGCTTTTAGCGACGACAGTAATCACTTTTTGCAGCGGTTTTAGTTGCAGCTAATACTTACTTTTAGCGACGACAGTAATCACTTTTTGCAGCGGTTTTAGTTGCAGCTAATACTTACTTTTAGCGACGAAATTCAAGATTTTTGGGTGGCGGTTTCAGCCGCCGGTAATACCCACTTTTAGCGACGAAATTTATCACTTTTGGCCGCTTATATTAACTTTTAGCGATGTCATTCAATACTTTGTGGCGGTTTTTGTCTCCGCTAATGTTTAGCGACATTTAAGAATTTTTGCGTCAATTTCGGTTGCCGCTAATACTGTATTTTAGCGATGAAATTCAAAACTTTTTGCGGTGGATACTGTCGCAGCTAACAGTGATTTTTAGTGTCAATAGTTTAATTATTTCGTGATCATTTTAGTTGTCATTAATACAATCCTGTAGGCGGTTTTGGTGGCATGAATATGAACTTTTAGCAAGGTTTGTTATGTAAATTCGTGGCACATTTTTTGTTCCATTAATTCTTTCTTTTAGCGGCGACTATAATAAGAATTAGTGGCTTATTTCTTTTGCAACTATACTTGCTTTAGCAACGACTCATATATGAATTAGTAGTTGTTTTTGAGTTGCGTTTAGCAGTGATTCTTATATCAATTATTGGCGGTTAAGTTTCCACTAACACCATCATTTAGCAACAACTGTTCTATGGTTTAGTGTCGGTTTTAGTATCCATTAGTACTAATGTTAGTGGCACCTGTTATGTAATTAGCAACGTATTATATATACATGTGAAGGAGGTTATAGTTGCCACTAGTTCTTATTGTAGACTAGTATCTGTATTGTGGTGTCTGTAGTTGCTACTAATACTACCTTTTATGGCGACTATTGTATGCATTCGTGGTGTTTAATTTGCTATATACTCTTAGTAGTGACTAATTGTGGCATTGACAGGGACTAAAGTTGGAGTTAATGCAAACTTTTTGCATCGATTAATGTAGCAACCAATGCCGCTGCTAATGCATAATTTCAGTGGCGATTAAATACATAAAATTGATTGATCCAAAAACCTGAACCTAGATAGAACCATTTACAAGTTATATATTTTTACAAGAAATGCAAAAGATAAGCCTCCAGTCAATCAGGAGAATCCACTGTGCCAGATTGATGCTATCTATCAGACCATATAACTGAGTTTGATGTCTGCTTTGACCCTTGAATCGGTAAATGGTATGTGATTGATGAAATTATGCAGCTCTATCATGATAAAGGGTTGCAGACAATCAGTATAGAGCACCATCAAGTTGTGGAATGAACTATGAGTTAACTTACTATCTAAGCTAAGGAAAAAAGGAACGGGGGGAGAGAGAGAGAACTCACAGGTCAACATCCATGTAGCATTTTCAACGTCTTGAGGATTGGATTTTGCATAGCGATGGTTGAAGGTACAGCCTTCGTGCATGTCAAACTTGTGATCGTCTTTGAGGTGTGCAACAAGGGACTGAATATCATCAGTAACAGAACATTCAGGTCCTGCATAAGGGCAGTTGTATGAACCAAATTTGCAGTTCTGCTCATGCTGAAGCCTACCGTGAGAGATAAAGAGATTGTAACTTGGAAAGATGAGAGATTTCAGAAGGAATTTGGCCTGAGAAAAATGAGTTGATAAGATTAAGATGTGTCAAGCTCGAGAACATGCCAAATTCAGGTGAGATGTGAGAATATAAGAACTACAACAATCTCTGCTCATGTTCCATGAACTCATATTTGGATAAGAGTAGGGAATACACCTATCTGATGAGAGATCTACAGTAAGTGTTTTCTTGAATTTTAGAAGGGAAATACTTTCATCTTCATGGCACCGATGAGGTATGGATGATCAAAAAGAAAGAAGACAGAAACAGAAAAAGAACAGAAATGAGAATTGCCGGTAGACCATCTTTCGCATTAAAGTGTTTAGAGTTGACAGTGAAAATCAAGAAAAAGCTTTGTTCTGATTAAGAGGGTCTGTATTTTGATAGTAATATATAACACACAAAAAATGAATTTTGTGTATACTTTTTTTTCTATTTAATGAAGGCAATGCCGTTAATGAATGGACAACTTCAAAAGTCAATGGAATGAAAGCATTTGTAAAAAAAAACTTAAATACTGGTATTGTTTTTCAAAGTCTTGTAGTGGGAAATTTATAATGAAAGTGTACATGTTCACATACTAGTAACTATTGTGCCTATATGAAAGTCGGCGACAACCAAAAGAGACCAGTTTCTATGATATTTAGAATGCAATGACATTAACTCAATACCGCTATATGTTTTTGTGAAAGGAAAATTTATCATCACTAAATGTTTAACGGAAAACATATCTGTCTCCCTTCATAGAACAGATAATGACCTGTTTTTTGGCTCCAGGAGAGCAGAGATGTCAAAGTTGTGTCAGTAGGAATACATTGATGAGAAGATTCAAGTGTTCCTACCTTCTTTCACTTGATGATAAATGGAAAAATTACGCGATGTTGTTTAGAAGATGCAATAAACTGCACAAATTTGTAAATTATACAGTTCACTGAAACAAGAAATGTTACATATTTCTTTTTCTGCAATTCCTTTTCCTTCGCTGATTCTTTCTCCTTCCCATCATTATTTTTTGTTCCATCTCTACAATAATTCTTGCTAGCCATCTCGGGTTTCCACTTGAAATCATGAAATACATTATGGATAATCCAATACATAGTCCACTTCCATAGCCCATAAGAGCAGCTTTCCAAAAATCACTCAGAAATTCAGAATCATTTTCTTCATCATGTAGTTCAGATACAGTATCGTTTGTATCTAATACCCCAGCATCGCCACAACTTTTTGAAACAGGAAATCCACGTAATTCATCATTGCCTTCATATGAACTGTTCTCAAAAGTGTGAAATTGAGGTCCTTGAGGAATGCATCCTCGGAGATGATTGTGGGAGAGATTTAAGAATGAAAGCGATGTAAGAGAAACTAGTTGTTGTGGTATCTCTCCAGAAAGCTGGTTTCCTGATAGGTCCAATGATTCAACTGAAGATAAATCTCCGAATGATTGTGGAATATGACCTTGCAATCCATTATGAGATAAATTCAATGTGTGAACTGCAATGAGATCCCCCATGATACTTGGAATTTTCCCTCCAAATTTATTACTTGAAAGATCGATAACGGTGTACAAATACAAGATCCTCACAATTTCACGCATAAATCCCTTGGTTGAAACTGTAATAGAATCTTGGTAATATGTATCTCCACGATATCTTGGTGCTTCTGTTGATGAATCAATTGTCCTCATGCCTTTCAGATGTTGAAACAAACTCGTAGGTAAGTTTCCTGAGAAGGCATTGTAAGAGAGATCTATGATTTGAAGCTCGGAAAAAATAGTTTCGATCCTTGGAGGTTGAATGGACCCATGCAATGTATTTGATCTCAAGCTTAAAACTTGTAGCTTTGGAAGAGTTCCCAACCACATAGGGAATGTGTCAATGAGATGATTATCTCCTAAATCAAGAACCTGCAAGTCTTTGCAATGAGCCAAAGATCGGGGAATTTTCCCCTCAAGTTTATTTCCGTGCAAGTTGAGGCTTCTCAGTGAACTTCCATTGCTGAAAATTGTTGGAATATTCCCAGAAAGTTTGTTGTTGTGAAGATCCAAAACCTCGAGGCCACTAATATTACCCAAACATTGCGGAATTGCTCCCTTCAAGTTATTTCTAGCCAAATCTAGCATTATCAGTGATGTCAAATTGCAAATAGATGGAGGAATTTCTTCGGTGAGATTATTTTGGGATATTAAGAAGTATCTGGTAGAATTCGGTGGAATAGGTAGTGAACCTTGAAGCAAATTGGACCGTAAATCAATAGTATCTACAGTCCGAAGAGGAATTGACTCCACAGTCGTCAACATGTTGTGGGATATATCAAGAGTCATCAATGACATCCAGTTAGACCATGCCCAATCAGGAATTCTTCCTTGAATCTTATTATGTGAAAGATCCAACACCAAAAGCTGGTTTGCGGATCTTAGAAACTCCAATTCTTTCACTTCACATGCAGCAAATTGCAACACATTAAGAGATTCAGGCCATGTAAAATTAACTTTGTTCTCATTGATCAATGATATCTTATTATATGAAAGACTAACACCCAAAAGTTGTTTGAGGTTTGAAAATAAGCTGATATCCACATTGCCGCTAAAGTTATTGAAGGAAAGATCAAGCCCTGTTAGGTTCTCAAGGTTTTGAATTGACTTGGGAATTTGACCTTGCAGCTGATTGCCTCCTAAAATAATCTCTTCTAGTGAATTGGACTTGAAATCCTCAAGCTCACCAGAGAAGTGGTTATTACTCAAGTGTAAACGACTTAGTGATGGAAGCCGGGAGAACATCCTTGATGGTATTGTTCCATTCAGGGAGTTATCTTGAAGGTACAAATGCACTATGCGAGTGAGATTTGAAAGAGATTCAGGAATAGGCCCTCTAAGGTTGCAATTTGGAAGAGACAAAGAATGCATCGAAGTTAGGTAGCCAACAGACTCAGGCAACTTATCAGAAAAATTCACGCGACTGAGGTCTAACTCCATGAGAGATGCACTGCTATTCCATTTGGTCTTTGGAAAATGACCATTGAGTTTATAGTTGTAATTTAAGCGAAGTGTTTCCAGATTAGGAAGGTGAAAAATACTCTCTGGTATTATCCCATACAATCCCGTAAATCCCAGCCTTAGATTTGTGAAATGAGAAGAAAAATTCAGAGGAATGGTGGAAGAGATGTTTATGAAAGTAAGATCAAGCTCTCTTAATTGAGTCAAGTTCTGAAGAAGCAATTTAAAATCGTGAGCTACGAGCCGTAGACTACCAGTAGCATAGAGACGAAGAGAGTGTAACTTGGAAAGATGAGAGATTTCAGAAGGAATTTGACCTGAGAAATTGGAGTTGTAAAGATCAAGATGTGTCAAGCTCGAGAACCTACCAAATTCAGGCGAGATATGAGAACCGTGGAATTCATTCCAAGAAAGGTTGAGTCTTTGGAGATGAGAGAGTTGGAATAGGCTGCTATTGGAATCAATTGTCCCAACAAGACGGCTGCAACCGAGGTCAAGTTCAATGACATGGCCAGTCATGTCATCGCATATGACTCCATCCCATAAACAACAATCTCTACTCATGTTCCATGAATTCGTTTTTGGATAAGGCTTCTGACCGCGGAAATAACATCTAGAAGAAGCATAGGGATTTATAGTAAATGTTTCCTTGAATTTTACAAGGGAAATGCTTTGATGTTTGGGACACAGAAATATGGATGAAGAAAAAGAAAGCTGATAAAGAAAGAAAATTAAGAACACAACTAAGAGCCCCATATTGTTCAAGGCATTCAATAGGTTTGTAGTGGGTATATTTATGAAAAAGCTATACAAATATACATATCGAAAGCACCAACCTTTCTTTGACTAGTCAAACTAAAGGTGCTATAGCATTAGTTTTAACTAATGGTGGCTAGAGGATTGGACGAAGATGAGGTGTGTTGAAGGACGTGAAGAACACATGCTACTTGGGAGAATAACATCCCATATACGAGACTCTTTAATGAATACATTATGTATTTTATTTGTCTTATTACGTGAGAAGAAAAGATTTGCAATTTATAAAATTTATAAGCTTTTTACTCTATGACAAGGATTGGTCAAATAGGGAAATTGCTACTCTCAAGTCAAATGGAAATTTCAAAGAAAGCTACATCACACAATTTCATTCAACTTGATGTAAAAATCCAAAAGTTCTGCAAATAAAAAAATAGGAAAAAACAAAACAAGCAAACTGTTTTTAGTTCAAAAACCACCAAAGCCCTATACTTGATTTAGACATTTATTTATGTAGACTCATTTCTTTAGTCATTTTCAAAAATTAGTCGACAGAGTGTTTTGTCTTGGGAAATGAGTGAAAATCACAATTTTTTCACAAATTTACGGTGGAAAAAAACTGTTTCTAATAGTGTGTGTTGCCTTCATATCAAATTATCAATCAATTCCAGGTTTACAAAATCTCAAATGTACTGTTTTTTCTTATCCAAACACATCAAACAATCAAAACACAAACAAATACTTGCTTCATTAAAAAAAAACAATAATCTTGTGATTCTGAATAAGTAGCTCATCATCATATACCAAGTTTATAACTGATGCAATCAGACACTCGTTTCGTGTATAATAGGCTTTTCCACATTCATTTATAATGTTATGGGCGGAAGGGCTCATAAGAGAGAGCCTCCACAAATAATTCTTCTTTCTATCACAACTACTAGAATGTCTCCAATAAGCTGAAATCCTCTACATGAATAACTCTCAATATTAAATTTACAAGCAGCATATAGTCAGCTACCTTGAGAAAAGTATGTGTTGACGGTTCAGTGTATAAATCAGCCCCTCCCTGCATTACCATGCCGTTGGTTTCTGAAGTAGCTAAGAAGTCCCTGAGCCTGCATATACGTCGTTAGAATACTTGGATTAGAATAGAAAGGCAAGTGTGAGGTTTCTGCAAAATTGTCGTACCTTTTCTCTGGCTCTTGCGGTGCCAGACTGTGACAATGCTACTAACGGAGGTACAGCTCCTTCCTGGAGAACCATGTTGCAGAACCTGCTACTGTTAGTGCATAATTGCAGCAGAGCTGCTGCCGCGTTCTCCCTACCTCTTGCAGAACCGAGCTCAACAACCTCAACCAGAAGAGGTATCCCTCCTTCCTGACCAATTGCTGCTCTTCCCTCATGAATGGTTGCGAGATTTGATAAAACAGCAACAGCCTTGTCAACCATCCCAGCAGCAGGGTCCATCAACTCTACAAGGAACTTAACAGCACCAGCCTGCACAATGCGACCCTTGTTTTCATGAAGTATTGACAAATTAAACAAAGCTGTCGCTGCGTCTTTCTTGCCCCTAGGACTTCCATTTCCCAATAAATCCACAAGAGGCTTGATAGCACCAGACCTCCCAATCTTCATCTTGTTATCCTCAATAACAGAAAGGCTAAAAAGTGTAGCAGCCGAGTTTTCTTTAGCCTCACCACTCCCTGTGTGTAGGACATGAATCAGAGGTTCAATTGCATCAGCATTTGCAATCAAACACTTGTTGTTGTCATTAATTGATAAGTTGAGAAGTGTGGTAACAGCATTTTCCTGTACATTCATATCTTCTGAATGAAGTAAGTTGACCAACAAGTTGATGGAACCACAATTTGCCATTACAATACGATTATCCATATTGTGCTTGGCAAGTAACCGGAGTTCAGCTGTGGCATCTCTTTGCACATCAATGGAATTGCTACTCAAATCCTGAACCAGCTTCCTAACTTGCTCCTCAAGTTCCAAAAGATCAGCCCTTCTTTCAACCGTAGCAGAAGAAACTATTCTAGGAAATCTCTCAGAAGGTCTAAGCCAGATGGATTGATTTCGAACTCTTGTCTCTGGCATGGATGGGAATTCCGGCTCCCCTTGTAGAACAGACAATGGAGCAGCAGGTTGGGATTCTGATACATCACACGCATCAGTCGCAGCTGCTGCTGACATTGAGAACACTTCATTTCCATCACCAGGAATTGTCGGTGAAAAGTTTGAATTAGATAGTGTGCTGGGTGCCGAGGTGGTTCGATTATGACCTACAAGGGAGTGTTTATTGGCTGCTAACATACAATGACCATGTGAGTTTATCTCTCCAGAGTGGGCCATCCGTTCTTCAGAAGTCTTAATAGATATCCTTACAACATCCAGAGCAAGCATATTACTAGCAACTCTAGGTAAAGAATCATCCAAAGAGGAATGGGGATGAGATGGAGATAATCCTTCTCTTTGGGTCATACTTGATGAACAAATCTTCCTCGGAGAGCTTAAAGAGCGAGAAGAATCAGGTGATGAAGAGTGATTGCCCCTCAGAAGGGGAATACCCTGGGTATCCCTGGGCATGCCAGAATACGCATGTGCTAGAAGTGAAGATGCCTGATTCAAGCTCAGAGATTTTGTTGGATCAGGAAGCTTTACATTGTTTGACTCACACCAATTTGCAATAAGTGCCTTAACGGTGTAATTAGGAATGAGAGTTGTGTGCCCCAGCATTTGCCTTGTCTTAGGACACACAGTAAGACCGAGATCAATCCATTCCCTTATAAAAGCTCGCTCATAAGTTTGTCCAGTAGCAACAATTACAGGGTCGGTCATCAACTCGAGTGAGAGGGGGCAACAAAAATCAGGAGGTATCGTCACAGGCCTGCAGGTCTGAGACTGTTTCATTGTGATGAAGCAGTCATGCATATGGGAAACAAGAGCTATAATTTGCTCAATATATTCAACTTCCTCAGTCTTTTCAGCTTGTTCAGCATTCTCCTTCAATTTTTCAAGGGCCACAAGCTCAATCAAAAGCTCTTGGTTTGACTTCAATCTTAGGCAATCCGCAAGTTTTGCAAAGCTGTCTGAGTTTGCTCCCAAGCCTTCCATTTGAGCCTTAATAGACTTTGTGATAGTCATGGATATCAGTTCATAATCCACATACTTAATTTTAAGTATACAGTGCTGCAATCCAAATACAAGACATCAAGAAATCCCCATAAGTAAGGATGACAACTCCAACTGACAGAAAGAGCAGAGAGGAACATTATAGCTGGGGTCGGAATAGGGCAAATATAAGGGAAAAGAAGATCTGGAATGACCTGTTTGGGCTCCTACCTCAAGAGATGTCAAAGTTGTATCAGCAGGAAGGCATTCATGAGAAGTTTTGAGTAGCTCCAGAAATTCAAGACTACATGTTCGAGTTTTTACTATAAGAGGTTCAACTTGCAGGACCTATAGATCATTAACACATCAACAATATAAATAAATATAACTGCTCAAAGTATTAAAATTCCTTAAATATAAACCATAAATTCTATAAGTGCACTACATTCCCATCATCATTCAGTTCGCTAATTATGGAACGAATAAATGGACAATCTGCTTATCCATTAATAAAGATATAGATCTTGGAACATACAAAATATACGTTACTACCCAACGGTTGCCAGGTTTCACACAGCTCCCTCAGTTCATCAACAGATTGAGCTAGTCCAGCAAATGCTTTCTGAAGCATCTCACTGGAAGCTGCTTCAACATCGACAATGGCCTCAAGAATCGGCTTTAAAATCTTCAATAGATCCTCAGCCTTGCAATAATACCTCTGAACTAGAATATCAGTTATGTTTTCACTAGATGATAAATGGAAAAATTGGGAGATGCTGCTGAGAAGAACTTTTAACAACGATATCTCCATTGCACCTGTTCACTTAGTAATCCTCAATTAACTGATTTGACACGAGCACAGAACCTGTTCTACAAGACACATAAATGACAAAAGTTAACGCATAAGTATATGGTCATTTATTGTATAGATAATAATGCTGAAAATCCACAGAAATAATGTCAGTGACATGTGTTAAGTGTCTGTGCGCGCGCATACACACATGACTGCAGCTAAACTATTAGCTTGATTAAGAAGAGTACTGCATCTTTTAATGTTCTATCATCAAGGGTGCCCATAAGAGCAGTTTAACTATTTATTTTACTTCCTCTTTAGCAACTTTGTATTAATATGAAGCATCTTACTAGTTAATCATGGTAATTTACTCAAGTCAAAAGGAAAGCCCTGTGCACTAAGCTCCCGTTATGCACAGGGTCCGGGGAAGGGCCGAACCACAAGGGTCAATTGTACGCAGTCTTACCCTACATTTTTTTGAAGAGGTTGTTTCCACGGCTCGAACCCGTGACCTCCTAGTCACAAGGCAACTACTTTACCAGTTACGTCAAAACTCCCCTTCAATTACTCAAGTTAGAACAATATATTTATTCAGCAAACCTCCGTTCCGCTGACCAACTTACCATGAGTATCCATCAACATTAGATTCACTTACTATTTACCAGCACCAAGAATCTTTCATATCAAGTTATTATATTTCTACTCCTACCGAATTTCCAGGATCTTTCTGGATAAAACATTCGATTAAGCTGCCGCTTCAATGCATCAGAAGAACACTTAAACCTAAAAACAATAAAGACAAGCTAGAGTAAATGAGATTTAATATTCGGAAAGATAAGTGCGACTTTAATAGCCGTTGTCAATAAATAGTGAACTTTTATCACCACGTATGAATTTTTTCTTCTATATTCCCTTTTTAAATGCACTACTGCATTTTTTTCCAACTAGAGTTTCATCAACATTCAGCTACCATTAGCCGCAACATCATTTATATATCCCCTTTTTCTTAAATACACCAACGCATTTTTTTCCAGCTAGAGTTTCATCAACATTCAGCTACTATCAGCTCCAACATCATATATAGCCTCTACTTCCTAATCTCATATTCATGTTGTACTATATCAATCAACTGTGTCTCGATTCCAACTAAATCATATATATCCATTCAAACTCATTTCTTAATATCGATCATAATTGTCACAGCCCTCTTCCTTTTCCCGCCTCGTGGAGGATTATACCCTGCAAAACTCCCAAGTGCTCCAAAGAGAAAAAGCATTCACAGTGACCAAAATGTGAGATGAAAACAGAT